AAAAATGAAATCCACTCTGTACCTGCTGTTAGCTTTAATGGGATATTCCCCAATTAGAGTTTCTCGGCAGGAAGGAAAAGCCTCATGGGCTATGTTATTCCACAGAAAATCACTCTGTATTATATTCAGACACATGGGGCATCATTGTGTTACTACTTAAATGCACAAATGTCCTATAGAACTAGACAGCTGAGTGGAAATGATTCAATTAGAATTTTAAGACCAGAGAACAAACATTACAAAGCTGCATAAATATATTTCATTCCCCCTCCAATCTCTTTCTCACATATACACAATTTTCCATTCCGGTTTCATTATTCATCATTATTTATAAAAATGTTTGCATTGACTGTAGCAGGCAGAAAAACACATCTCTTATCGGTTGATGGCATTATAAATTATTTCTGTGGAAAGCAGAAAAGCCGTCAACATAGGCAAGTCTTCTTGGAGGAATGAAAAAGTACACTTCTGCAAAATGCCATGTATTGTAGGAAACAGAAATAGCAGGGGATGCGTTGGAAAGCAAGCATTGCTTAATCAAAGTTCTAGTTATAGTATTACCAGCGGCTAGTGACCTTAGGCCTTGTTCTTATCACAAAATATTCCACAGAAATCTCAGTAATGGGGAAGGAAGGGCTTTGTTATTTTGAAGCTGCAGTCTTCTACTGGTAGGCTTATTCCAAATGTAGATTTTTAAAAAATTCTTATATACTCAACATGGACCCTGAGGCTTTTCTGCCTCAATTTTTTTTCACATTGATATTTGTTGCATGAGATCCGAGCTGTTTCTCAAGTCTTTTCATTCTGAGGGCATCAGATTCCTCCAATACCATGATAAGTTATTAATGGGATAGTACATTTCTTCATTCAGGTTTTTGTCCTATGGGACTGCTATAATAACAACATTCCACTCCCTGACATCTTCCTTTCACCCATGCAGCTGAGAAATCACTAAGGCAGAGTAGACCGTTCACACAGACACAGATATTAGCTATGTAATGTGTTTCAAAAACAAAAACGTAAGAATGACTTATCTCATCTGAAATCTGAGAGTTTGGTTTAGTGTTAGATAGTTATTTTCTGGGTGACACACTACACTGCCATTATGTTCCATCCTTCTGAAACCTTCTTCAGTTAGTTGAAGAGAAACAGTTAAGACAGACCAAGTTTAGCTAATTAATTAACTTTTCCATTAAACCACAGACATTGAAGGAGACCACACGATTTATAGAGGATGCCATGGAAGCTGTTACTATGTGTCTTGTTGTTGTTCATTCGTTCAGTCATTTCCGACTCTTCGTGACTTCATGGACCAGTCCACGCCAGAGCTCCCTGTCAGTCGTCACCACCCCCGGCTCCTTCAAGGTCAATCCAGTCACTTCAAGGATGCCATCCATCCATCTTGCCCTTGGTCGGCCCCTCTTCCTTTTTCCTTCCATTTTCCCCAGCATCGTCTTCCCTAAGCTTTCCTTGCTTCTCATGATGTGGCCAAAGGACTTCATCTTGGCCTCTACTATGTGTCTTAGGGGAGAATATTTTGTCATTTTCACTTTCAAAACCATGATTTTTGTTCTTTTAAAGATGCCTTCCCCAACTGAAAACTTTTCCCTAAAGGTTGGCAGTTAGCCCTAGCTCGCACTGTTAGCCCTAGCTCCTGCCAACCTAGCAGTCCAAAACATGCAAATGTGATTAGATAAATAGGTACTACCTCAATGGGAAGCTAATAAAAGGTTCCCATGCAGCCATGCCAGCAATACGACCAGGAGGTGTCTATGGACAACAGGCTCCTCAGCTTGGAAATGGAAAAACAGCATCTCCCCATGGCTATTGAGCACAGTCTCCAGAAGCCAGAAATGAAAGGGGAAGCCTTTACCTTTTTTCTGTGTATTTGTGTATCATTGTTATTTCACTATATTAAAGGCATTGAATGTTTGCCTATCTGTGTATGTTGTAATCTTCTCTGAGTTCCCTCAGGGAGAGAGAGCAGAATATAAACAAAGTGTTGTTGTTGTTGTTGTTGTTCCCTACATGGACAGTAGAACCCAAAATCTGTTGAACTAGGAATGATGGGAGTCCAACATCTCTTGGGACTATAAGGTGGGGAAAGGCTTTCCTAAAGCCTGGGATCTCATCTTACAACCACTTCAATTCCATTTGTCAAACATCTGCATCTCTCTTTTTTTCCCACCCTCATCAACATGTACATTTCATTCATTTTTCAAATGCTTTCATTGTTAAAGTTTAACAAGTAATGTTCTATTTCAGTTAGAGGACACTCTTAACCACAAATACAGCAATCTGGCAAATTGGTCAGTGAAGCAAGGATAGAGAATTATGAAAATTATATTTTTGAGAGTTCTAATCATATGAAGAATATTTTTTTCTGCACAACTATATCACTTGTATGTGATGTGCGGGGCTTGACGAATGCAAGGCTGGGGTGAAAATTGCTGGAAGAAACATTAACAACCTTAGATATGCAGATGACACCACTTTGATGTCCGAAAGCGAGAAGGAGCTGAGGAGCCTTTTAATCAAGGTGAAAGAAGAAATTGCAAAAGCTGGGTTGCAGCTAAACATACAAAACTCCAAGATTATGGCAACAAGAATAATTGACAACTGGGAAATAGAGGGAGAAAACATGGAGGTAGTGACAGACTTTGTATTTCTAGGTGCAAAGATTACTGCAGATTCAGACTGCAGCCAGGAAATCAGGAGACACTTACTTCTTGGGAGAAGACCAATGACCAATCTTAATAAAATATTGAAGAGTAGAGACATCACACTGGCAACAAAGATCCACATAGTAAAAGCAATGGTATTCCCCATAGTCACCTACAGATGTGAGAGCTGGACCATAAGGAAGGCTGAGCGAAGGAAGATAGATGTGTACTTTGGCCACAGCATGAGAAGACAGGAAAGCTTAGAGAAGACAATTATGCTGGGGAAAATGGAAGGAAAAAAGGAAGAGAGGCTGACCAAGGGCAAGATGGATGGTATCCTTGAAATGACTGGATTGACCTTGAAGGAGCTGAGGGAGGTGACAGCTGACAGGGAGATCTGGAGTGGGCTGGTTCATGAGATCACGAAGAGTCGGAAATGACTGAACGAATGAACAACATATCACTATTTGCTTTCTGGAGCCCCTGGTGGCACAGTGGGTTAAACCCCTGTGCTGGCAGGACTGAAGACCGACAGGTCGCAGGTTTGAATCCAGCGAGAGGCAGATGAGCTCTCTCTACCAGCTCCAGCTCCTCAAGTGGGGAGAGAAGCCTCCCACAAGGATGATAAAACATCTGGGCATCCCCTGGGCAACGTCCTTGCAGACGGCCAATTCTCTCACACCAGAAGCAACTTGCAGTTTCTCAAGTCTCCCCTGACACGACAAAAAAAATTGCTTTCTGCCATTCCACTCCCAATAAAGTAGGCAGTCTGCAAACATCAGTGATATAACATAAGTTTTGCACTAAGGAATTGGGGATCTGAAGTTTTAATAATTACATAAATAAGTCTAAATACCTGAATAGTATCATATCCTGTCTGATTTTGGAAGCCAAGCATGATTAGCCCTGGTTAGTACTTGAATGGAAGTCAGTCAATGCTGTTGGCTATATTTCAAAGGATGAACTTGGCAAACCAGCTCTGAGTATTTGTTGCCTAAGAAAACCATATGAAATTCATGGGGTGACAGTATGTTAACAGGTGACCTGAAGTCATGGACACATATCTAACAAACTCATCCCAAGCTTATTTTCCCAATACAGTACAGAGAGAAGGGCATCCACACCGAAAAAGTATACATTCACTAATTCACTAAAGCATATTTTAACTCAAGAGTTAATTGAGGAATCTAGCGAGTTAGGAGGACTTACTAGAGAAATCTAGTGAAATAATTATTTAATGAGTTCATTCACAAGTCAATTCCAAGTGGTTCATAAAACATTTAGGACACAATTTAGGATTTGTTTTTCAATTAATCTCTTCCAAACTAGTTTATAGAGACACTTGTGGAATTCAGCATTTCTAAATTCCAATGCAAACTGACCTGATCTGCACTTCATGTAGTAACATATAAATCAAAATGGCATTATTCTTTGTATTTTGTACATCTATGCATACTTTTGCACCCTAGTACTGGAACACTCTTTCACTCAGCACCACACCAGAGTCCAGTGATCCAATAAAAGAATGTTTTTAAAGAAAGTATATAAAAAGAGAAAAAAGACAAATCCAAAAGAGACAGGCTGGATATAAAATGCAATACACAAGAGAAGCCAGAGTTCAGTAGCAGTAATCCAAAAATGCCAGGTTAACCACCAAAACCAAGGAATCTAAGAACACAAAATTAATCCACAGTCCAGGAACATTAAGACAGGAATGTCTCCAAGGTAATTTCTCCAAGTTACATAGGCATAAACAGGAACATGAAAAAGGAATCTTGAGAATATGGGAACCATGAACTTGGAAGCATGAACAGGAGACCAATTCCCATTAGCAATGTTGTCTCCTCTGAAGGGTCTGAAGCCAAACCACTTCATTTAAGCCTGTCCAGGCACCCATGACATCATATCTAACACATCTGGACATCAATGTCTTATCTCGAATCCTCTGGGAATATCTTAGTTTGCCTGCTTTTCACACCCTGTGTTCTCAGGTCTACACTCTCTTGAAATCTTCTTGTCTTCCCAAGACCTTTTCACAAGGAAACTGGTATTTTCATTTTCCCCTGTTGCCTGGAACAAGCTGAGAAATTAAAAACATCAGCTTCCCCTTAACGCTCACAGACTCCTCACTTGAAAGGCCATCACCCCCTCATCTTCTGAACATTCAGAAAAATCCTCTGATGCTTGTCAGACTACAACACATATCACAATAAGCACTTCACAATTGTTTTTTAAATCTATCAAAATGTGTCTTTACAATATTTAATTGAAGATAGAATACACCCCTATGGTTAGATTTTCTGCGGAAATGAGTGAGTGAGAGAAAATTTCAAGCGATTTTCATTTTTTAAAATGGCAGATTTAATGTAGAAAATGAGACAGAATGGGTTGAGGAATGAACAAGTTTGAAACTGACATTGAGATGAAATTTACCATGGTCAGTCCATTCCTTGTCACAGAACATCACTAAGAATTATGAGGTTTTTTCTAGAATCCAGTCATTATACTCTGCCACGTTTGTGTAAACGCCTGGTTGTCCTGGGCGAGCACACCCCTCACCCCAGCTTGTAATGCCAGCCAAATACCACTTGTTCTGGTATTTACACGACAGAGGACCACCCGAGTCTCCCTAGAATGAAGGAAGAAAAAGTACACAGATTCTCAGTTTACAGAGAAAAGAACAAGATAGACAAAACTGAATGTGAAAAGGATAACCAAAAGAGAAATCATCTTTCTGAGTACACATATCACAGGAGAGGAAGAACCATGTTGTTTATATGAAAACACAACTATTCAACAGAAAATTGAGGAGCTCATTGCATCTTATTCGTGTAGCATCTCCTATTGCCTCACTCTCCAGGATGCTATGCCTTGAAGGATCATAATCTAGAATCTAAGTCCTGTTTCTGAAAGCAAAAGCTGAACCCATCACCTGTGCATGAACATCCTTGAGTTTTAGCTTCCAAAGCATAGTTCTACTGTAAAAGATTGGTCATAAAAACTTAGATACAATAAAGCTGTCTTCAAGGAGCCACTAGATTCTTTAGTTTTTCAATCTGACAAACTGGCATGGCTACTATCACCAGAAATATTGCTTTATCTACTTACTGAGGACCTCATCACATTGAGGTTGACATGGCGGGTGATAGCGGGGGGGGGGGGGGGGCACCATGCAACATGCCTTTACTCAATATTGTTAGCTTGATTGCTATACTATAGGAGGATAGGCATGGCATTTATTAATGGTGACTTCCTATCAGTTAGGATTTTCTTTCACATTCTCTCTCCTTCCTATCTCACTGTAACCTGTAGTCATTTTTCTCTCCCCCCCCCTACCATTAGTCTATGTGTTTGATTATGCATAAGTAATTTCAAATTGAAGTATAAATGTTCTAGTAAGAAGACCATGCTTATCGTATTCTCTACTATATATTTTTGGTGGGTAGCATGGGACTGGTTATTATTCAGTTTCTGCCTTGCCAATTGATTGCTCTGCTAAAGTGATTCACTATTTGTCATATTTCCCAAGACATCTTTCTACCATTTGAAGAAATTGTTCAGTAAAGGGTTTCACAAAGCCAGATTAAAAGCGATTGGACCATTATCAGTTCAGAAATGTTATACCAGGGATGAGTCTGAGTTTCAGGGCGCTCAGTCAAAGAATGATATCACACTAGCATTTTAAAGTGAGGGCTCCTTTCCTATAGTGTGACAGTCTCTTACAGAATTCTGGGAAATGTAGTTTAGGGTGGGGCCTTTGGAATTCTCAGCCAGAGAGGTCTCAGCTTCCCTATACTACATTTCCCAGAATTCTGCAGGAGGCAAGAAAATAATGTGATGAGGTCCTAAGTCGAATGCCCTATCTACCACAGCACAAATATTTAGGGGCTTTTTTTGTCTCATCTACAGAATTTAATGCAAATCTCCATCAGCCATATTTAATAGCAGTGCTGAATTCCCAAAGCATCAGCATAATCACTTCTATGTATCCAAAACAGAGTTTGGAGAAGCTAGACCCAGAATTCTGGGAATTATAAACTAAAGAGGGCCCAAGTTGCACATGCTGTAAATTCACTTTTAAAAGCAAAATAGAAAGACAGTATGACAATAGCATGCCAGGATTTTTTTGAAATCAGAATTAAGTGCCATTTCTGGTTTCCATTTTTCACTCTTTGAGGGGGGGTTTTGTGATACAGGAAGCACTGCATATTGATTAAAGTCATGGAAACCTTGGAGAAACACCATTCTCCATTTTAATGGCCCCCATTTTTTACTTGGGGAGATATTAAAGAAATACGAGGAAACTGTGGACTATAGTCGAAGTTTTTCTAGCTCACATAAGGTTACATTTGCACTATCCCCACCCCAATGCAGATTTTCTTAAAATCACTATTTAGAGGAGAGCCATGGGCAGGACTGTAACCAGAAAAAAATTTGTGGGGGGGGGGGTGAAATTTTTTTTAGCAAACCATGAGAAGTAGTTCCATAACACAAAATAATTTAAATAGTATGATTCATTCTATATTTTATATAGACTTAAATCAATGTTCTCATCCCCTTCATGGGAGGCTTCAAAACCCCCCCATGCCTTAGACTTTGCCTACCAGTTGTGGGTGGGCCAACTTGGTTGCTTCCACTATATCAGCTATTGCTGCAAGTAATGACTAAATAAATTGTCAAAATTTGCTTGAGATCGTTCTTGCAGTTCTGGAGGGACTTGTTTAATTTTTGCTTCCCATAGAGTTAGCAGGGGAATTTGATTAACCAGTTAAAATTCATGAGAAAACCAGGGGGGTTTTTTAACCTGAACTTTTTTTGGGGGGGGGGAGGCATTGAACCCCTAATCCCTCCCTCCTTGGCTACAGCCCTGGCCATGGAAATGGCAGAAGTGAGAGGGTGTGTGCATGTAAGGAACCATATCTGATAGAAATCCTCACCAAACTACAATGCTCAGGATGTTTTGGTAGCTAAACTAATTTTAAATAAATGTTTGTAGCATGCATAGGCACCAAGCCACATATAAGACGTCATTACCTTACAAGCATCCTTTCCACCTTCTGTGTAACCAGCACACAGCATCTTGTGAGTTATTCTATGATTTTGATATCGCGTCTGGCATTCTTGATTTGATATTAGGGGGATCTTGAGTTTTTGTAGTATGTCATGTACTTGACCTAATATGAAACAAAACAGCTATGAAATATGATGACATAGGAGGACATAAAGCAGGATGGTTAAAGATAGTGGAAGACAAAATAATATGCTAGCTCAATAATTCCAAAACTCCCTGCTAGGAAAACACCAAGATTCTTTTGAGTTTTAACCCCATCCACCCCACTGCTTTAGAATTGCATGGTTCACCTACTTGGATGTGTCTAAGGATCTCATCGGAAGCTGTGTTCCCTCAGTTTCTATACACTTAAAAAACTGAATCCCATGGGGGATCATCAGACAACACAAGAGCATTCTGCAGGTTGCACGTGTGACTCCATTTTTAAAGTGTATAGAAATGGGAAGTTTTAAAGCCAGGCGGAAACTGATTTCAGTGGTCTCCATGCACATAGAAATGCTAAATGCAGATGGGATGTGAAGGGCTGTATTTCTTCATCTTTAATCTGTTAACCTGATGGGTCAGTTAGAAATGGGAGGCAGTTATTCCATGTGATGGGGGTGAGTAAATTCTTGAGTTTCTTTAAGACATAATGTCATGGAACAGCACATAAAGAAAATGAGATACAATCAAGGAAAATATTAGGCATGGACAATACATGGTTCTAAATGATTCTAAAGTCCTTAACAAAACTAAGGACCGCTGGTGGTGAAAATTTCAAAACTCTAACAAAACTTTCAAAATTTTGTTATAAATGACAGTTTCTAATTGGTTGTGTCATAAAAATAGCTAATAATGAAATAATAATAAAATTTTGAAAGTTTTGTAAGAGATCTGAAATTTTCACCACCAGAATTTTAGCAACACTGTAGAAGCAAAGAACCAGCAGCCACTAGTTTTGTAAATACTTTAGAACCATTTAGAACCATGGATTGCCCATGCCTAGAAAAGATATTTAAACAATTTAAATCATTGCTGTTAAAACTGGTACTACTCACATTGGCTGCCAAGCTGTGGTGCGTTTCCAGAAAACTATGCTAATGCAGTTATAAAATGGCACAAATCTGGTACTAGTCTCTGACACTTTGGTGAGAAAAATTATTCATAGCTTGCACAGCATTGGTTTAAGCCATTTGATTATTTATTTATTTATTTACTTTATTTATTTATATACCACTTTTATCAGGCCTCAGGCGACTCAAAGCGGTGAACAACATCAATACAAAACATCACAAGACAAGTATAGGGCAATTAAAAACAATTGTAACATAAATCATTAAACATCCGTAGATCAATCATTAGCGCCTCAACAGTAAAATCAGAATCCAGTCTCATCATCCATTATTCCATATTCCTATGTTAAATTACACTGTTTAATCAAATGCTTGTTCGAACAGCCAACTCAAACAGAATCAAGTCCAGTGTCTAACAGATAAAAACCAAGGCATGATGACATTGGGCCCAGAACAGTAAGGATGGAAACAATATTTTTAAAATATTCAAAACATGTCTGGAAAATATCTTTCTTGGATGTTGGGAAACCCAGAAGAGGTTCAGGTTTGTTTGTGAACTATCAGTTCAGGTTTTGTTTGTGAACTATCACATTTTCTGCAGAAAGCAATATTTTCTGTGCAAAAAACTATTTTGTCTGAATTTTATGCAGAATAAATCCTAAATGGCAACATTTTTAGATAGTAATTTTTTCCACTGAAATATTATTCATGCATGTGAATTTTGCGCAGAAGAAATCCAAACTGCAGATATTCTCGAAAATAGCTTTGTTTTTAAACTCCTGTTCACAGTGGGAAGAATATTGCTAAAATGACAAAAGCTGCCTTCAGTCCCTACATTGAGAGAAAGGGGGTTAAAAATGAAGTGATGAAAATCATATCCTGTGGGCCAATGATGTTCCAGACAGGTGTTATTTAGCTTGGATGGAGTTTGAATGAGGTCATCTAGATGCAATCCAAATACCTTTCCCTGTCCCTCATTTAAAAGCAAACTGATGTTTTGAGTTTTTCTCTTTGAGCCACATCAGAGGAAGAAAGGATAAGGTAATGATTGTGAGGTTCAAGGCTCATGCCTATAGTGCTAAACTATCACTTGGATTCTGATTCGTTGGTACCTTTTCCAACTTCTGAGCACAACACCATAGGTGGGAAGCCCAATTATTGAGAGAATAACAATGGTACCTATAGATAATATATATTTATTTTTCACCCCACTGCCTGTGGATGAATAGATGAGTAATGTAGCAAATAACACATTTCCTTATTACAAAATCTACTTATGGATTTAAGACCTTCCTATTCTCCAGCTATAAAAGCATTTATCTCACATTGCTCTATCATTTGCAAAGACAACTATGTTGGTTACTAAGTATAATTTTTCAATACCTCTCTCTTTTGTGTAACCCCATCCAGTCACCCAGCACTCGGTGTACTTTGTGTTCATTTCTTCAGTCGGCAAGCACAGAGGTTGCTGTAAGACTAAAAGAAATAGATAGCAGTGGGAAGGTTTTTATTTTTAAAATACATCATATTCCTATTGGAACACCAATCCTTTCTTTTCCTTTTCTTGGCATGAAATTCAGACAGCCCCAGATTATGAACAAGATAGGTTCTGTAGGTTTGGTCTTAAGTTAAGTTTGTATGTTGGTCGAAACAAATACACTTTTCAAGTATAATTCTAGCCAAAAACATTTTGTTTTGTTTTGAATATTATAGGGAAATGTTAACACCCCTGTAATGTTTGTTTTGCTGTCTGTGCCGTCACACCCAAACGCTATAACGTTAAAACTAACATGTGCTTCTCTCTTTTTCTGGGAGAACTGCTGGAGGTCTTTCTTTGAAGCAATACCTCAATACTTTCAGCAATTGATGCCAGTCAAGATATAAACATCAACAAAATATTTATTTCCAAAGTCCTTGGCAGACTTGGCACAGCTTGATAAAGTTACAACACAAACAGTCAATTTGGGAAACCATAGAGATGTTCTTTCCTTTTCCTTCAATTACTGAGGTAACCTTTCTCCAAATGGTAGAAAAAATCCTGAGATATTTCACCCTAACTCTGAGCCGCTATGGTTAGAAAGAACAGGTATTCCGCTATCTAAGCACAAGGTCAGTTTTGGAGATAAAGTAATGCTCAATAGTACTCAATAACTATTTCTCTCTATTTCTCAATAACTCAATTACACAATTACTATCTCAATATCTTTATATTTCTCTCTCTATAACTCAATAGCTTTCTTCAATAACTATAGTATCTCAATAAGCTTCTCTTTATCTCAGTTGCCTTTCTTAATAACTCAATAGTACTCACAATGGGTTTTTCAGAGCTCCCTGCCTGACCAACAGCACATCTGAGGTTCTTTTCTCTACTAAAGGAGGCAGGGGAGATTCCAAAATGGAGATCTCAACCCCAGGAAAAAGGGCGGTCTCCAAACCCAAAGATATATTTTCTAAACCAATAACTGCAGCGGGACTGCAGCTTGGCTTTCCAGACTCTGATACTGTTTAACTTCCAGGATGCTGCTGGGTCTATAGCAACCCTAGGGAAATGCAAAGGAATGCTATCCCGTTCAGCTAAAGGGCAATGTAAACCATGCTCCTGGAAGATGGAACACTGTCTATGCCCCTGTTCAGAAGATTTCACCTCATTTTCTGTCCCTGTGACAATTGGATTGTCAACATTTTGGGCTATTGTGGAAACAAGGATTGGTGCTAAAGCTTCCATGGAGACACTTTTTCCCCATGATAACTCTTATAGAATTTTTTTTCCTTCCTAGGAGTAGATTTCCTCTCCTTCCTGTTGTCTCACCCTGTTTGTAACTTCGAATCATGTATAACCTGAATGTTTGTGACTTGGGGACCGCCTGTAATAGATAGTTAAAGCTAGTACCATCCACTAATATTAGTTTCAGAGATAGTAATACTGAATTCCTTAAGACAACATTAAGGATTTTGTAATATGTGTAAAAATTCCACCTACCACTGAAGTTCATAGGTCGGTCAAGTTTCAGTAATGCAATGTCATATCCCGCTTCTGAAATCCTATACTTAGAATGAACTATAATTTCTTGGACTTTGAAAACAGAAGTATCTTGTTTTATTTCTGATTGTCTCAAAATGCCAGCATAAATACGCCAAATTTCAGGAACTTGAAGGCTAAGGAGAGGAACAAAAAAGGTTTGGATGAAACACCATGTGTATGGCTGTTTTGTACTACCTGGATAAAATATCAAAATAGCCAATCCAAATATAAGTACCACTCTGCTTTCTCTTGTATTTTACCTTTGCTATTTACTCTTTTCATTTATAGTCTTGTGGGATCTAGTTCATCTATGTTATGCCCCCAATATCTCAGGACCTAAATTAAGATGTTCAGTCCTCAGGAGGAGAGAAGGGAATCTCAGGACAAGAGCACTTTTTTGAAAAGTTATCTTCCTCACTAAATAGACTTTGTGTTTTTATCTCATTGGCCTACATTATATGACTTAAGGCTACATGCTTAAAGTATGTTCTTTTGCAAATATGGAAAGAATATTTTAGTAATATTCAAAAAATGTTGAAAACATGTTTTAAGTGTTGAGGAATTTAAGTGAGAATCTTCAGTGAGAATTCAAATGTGACTGTTTTGCACAAAAATCTCATTGCAGGAAATGATATTTCCAGTTGTCATAGAGATGCAGTCTTTTCTGTACAAGAAATGATACTTCTACACAGAAATATTATTACCTGCACAGAAAAGACTTTATTTGGGCACTTATTATGTTCAAAATTCACACATTGATAATTTGCATGGTTAATAATATTTCCCCAAGTCCAAGGTATAACTCCAATTAGTGCCAACTATCATGTGTCTTCAAGTTGACTCCAGCTTGGAATGAAAACATACTGGCATTTTTCAGAAGAGTTTGGCCATTGAGACATCAGCAAGCTGGTGTTTATGTCTGAATGGTTATTTGAACCCTGATGCCGCAGAATCCTAGTCTGACATTCAAACCACTATACAAAGCTGGGTTCACAAGTAGATTAAACCCAAGGAATCAATGGGAACTTAATAGGTTCCAGTAATACACCAGTAACATATACACCAGTAACTTTTCCAAGCTATGATTTATTCCATCTTTAGTCTGTTTTTACCATTTTGTTATTCAGAAAACAGAGGGACTTATATGGCTCCCAGAGCAGCTTCTATGAACTGTGTGGGCTCTGAGATCGACAGGAGAGGCCCTTCTCTCAGTCCCAACACTGTCTCAAGTGCAGTTGGTGGTGACGAGAGAGGCGGCCTTCTCTGTGGTGGCCCCCTGGCTCTGGAATACCCTCCCAAAAGAGATTAGATTAGCCCCCACCCTTCAATCCTTCCATTCCAATCTGAAAACATAGATGTTCATATAGGCCTTAGACCTTGTGTAGGCTGAATGGGCCAATATGAAGCTGACACTTGACACATTGTGAATTGACAGTGGTTAGTTTTACCTACTATTGTTTACAATTGTATTATTTTGATTTTATGCTACATGTGTTGACGGGGTTTTTATAATTTTATGTGACTTGTTTTATACTTTTGTATCGTTTTTACCTGTTGTATGTTATATGTGCACCCTGGAGTGCCTTGTAAGCCACGCTGAGTCCCTTTAGAGAGATGGTGGCAGGGTATAAAGTTTATTATTATTTATTATTATTTCTCTTGGGCACTGATTAGGATAAGTCTTACTTACACTTAATGCAAGCATATTGTGTAGCCCTATAATGTAATGCATGGGCCACATTATTTAGGGAAAACACACAAGCTAGGAAAGGCTGCAGCAGTTGAGCCTACTGAGAAGAGCTATATTATTCTCCCTTGTCTCCCTCTTGCTGAGCTAACTGAATACAAGCAATGTTTGCACTTTGAACTCAGTTTATGCTGGGATCAAAGGGGGTGAAAGGAATGGACACACTTTGAAAACAGCTGAAAAAAATGGAAAGGCAGAAAAGATATGTGCAGGTCCAAACCTCAGACAATTTCCACTCCTCCCCTAAACTATTGTAAGCCACTCTGAGTCTCTTTGGGGTGAGAAGGGTGGCATATAAATGTTGTAAATAAATAAATAAATAAATAGTCAACCCAAGGCATTTCCAAACCAGAATGGGAAAGATTCCAGTCTCAACCCCTAAAGTGCAGCCAGTGTAAGCATCAGTGAGCTGGATGGTTTCTCTCTAAGGCAGCTTCCAATGTGTCACTAGCCTTCAAAGGTTCAGTCAACAATTCTGGAAGGTCTTTACAAGTTATGCCCTTTTAAGAAATGAACAGTATATTTTTAATGCTACTGTTTCCAAAGCCCATCTCTTTCTAATCAAAGATATTTCAACAAACATTGAGGTTTTTACTCACTCCTCTGTGCAATGGGCAGCTGTCAAAATCCATCGGTCACTGATAATGGAACCACCACAAATATGACTTTGAGTAGATAGCTTCACGTGTAAACTGACTTGCCAAGGCCATTCAGCTAAAGAAGCATTTTCTCCTCCAACAATTCTTCCAGTTGCACCAGATTCCAGTACACATACTAGAAAATACATAAAGGTATCATTTTTCTCCAAACGGTTTTGGAGATTCTGGTTTTCCAAAACATATAGCGGAAAGAAGCAGTTATTTCACTAGGTGGACATAAAGTGAATTTGTATAGTGGGTTGTTGTAAGGTTTTTTCAGGTTATATGGCCATGTCCTAGAGGCATTCTCTCCTGATGTTTTACTTGTATCTATGGCAAGCATCCTCAGATGTTGTGACAACAACCCAGTGAATGTGTATATTTAAGAAGAAGCAATGATGGCGACTGCATGACCTTCCCAGGGCAGTTTGAAACTTAAAAAGCAAGTTCCCTCACAGTATTCCATTATTATGTCATTAAATGGGGAGGAGACAGTGGCTAGCAGTAAAGTCAAAGAGAAAGAACTTTAGGACAATGTGGGGAAAGGAATTCCTGAGTTTGGCCCTACCTCTAGGTCAGTGGTTCTCAACCTGGGGTCCCCAGATGTATTTGGCCTACAACTCCCAGAAATCCCAGCCAGTTTGCCAGCTGTTAGGATTTCTGGGAGTTGAAGGCCAAAAACATCTGGGGACCCCAGGTTGAGAACCACTGCTCTAGGTTCACTGAGCACTGGAAACTTGATGACACAAAGACTTGTGCAGTCCAGGGATGAAACCCAACAGAATTGTCAAAGCAAATCTGGGTTTTTGGGATGAATGTAATCCCATCCAGCAAAAGGGAAAACTTTGTTTCTTGCTATGCTTTTTGACTGACCAGAAACAGTTCTGTCTTGTCTGAAATGAATTTAAATTAGAAATTTCTAATTCGATTTGAAGAACTTCAGCAAAACTTCTCCCTATTTGAATGGCATGAAGGGAGGAGTTAGAAAGTCCCATAATTGCCACACAACACTATCTACGTGAGTAAAATGTTCAGAAGTTGTTGGGTGCCAGAAGGAGGACTGCAGCATCTGTGAATAGTAGCAGTGAATAAAAAGTTGGCCAAAAAGAAACATGCACAATTCTTTTCAATTAGTAGTTAATATGGAAACTTGATAAGGCCATCATATATAGGTCAACATATATACACATTGTTTATATTGTTTGAGGGAAGAAATTCCATATTCTCCCCAATTTAACTTAGGACAACAACTTGATACCTTTGTCTCCTTGGTAAAAGCACTGCGAGATGTGTTCTATAAATCAGAATTTAACTGTTCAGAATTTTGCTCATGTCCCTGAACTTTCTGAGGCAGCTCTACACAAACAATTCTGTACAAACATTCCCATGACAGTTCTTTCTTGCTATCAAGTGACCATCAGTTTCTGTTTGCTGGCATGTGTTTACTCTTCTTCTTAAGCAGGGTTACTAGAGGAAGCCTCTTAAGGCTTAATTTTTGTCAGATTTGAGACCCAGACTCGGGTGTCAAATCATTTCTAATCATCAACTTGATTATAAAGGAGGAAATACCTTGGAATCTGTTCAGTGTACATTCACAAAACAACTGTGAAACTATAAGTGGATTTGATACATTTTTGTTTTGATGGAAAGTAGCCTTTTAATAAGGGGCTACCTATGTATGTAAATTCAATATGGGAACCCGCTTCTCCTTTAAAAAGAAATAAAACAACAAAGCTTCTTTTTTTCCCTGTGTTTAGTTCTACCTGATGGCTCTGATTAAAAGAAAAGTTATTCTTTCATCAAACCTGAGCCTTGCTTATGTTCAGAGTTGAAGAGATGTAGCATAAAAATTGATGTCCCCAAGCTATGCTCTTTATGCCACCATTAGTAGTTATATTCTGCTTTTCTTTCTTCCTATAAGGATGCATTCTGCCTCTCTGTAGGCAAAATGTAGTTGCATTGACTTTTTTTAACTTTTTATCTTCTTTAGAATATGAAATTTAGCAAGCTAGTTAGCTACAAGACTTTTTTTTATCAAGAATGTATTTCTTTTTACTTTAATAAATCTTTTTGAACCCAAAGTTCTGACTCTGCAATCCTAAGCCATCCTAAAGATTAGAAGGCTATTCCTTCTCACCACATGTAAGTTCCTGCTGGTTATGGAGTTTACTGCTGATATTCTGCTATATTTTGGAGGAATTGCCCTAACTAAGGGTTATTTTTTAGCCTAACAGCTCAGATTCCCCAACAAATTCAACCCTAAGTCTGCAAACCCAGGTTTTAGCAGAAGTCCAGACAATATTCACATTAAAGGCACCAGTGTTGACAATTCCTTGTCTACATTAGTTTTACAAAGTCTCCAGCTCTTGCAGTCTACATTATGCATGGGGACTACCATTAAATATTCTTAGGTTTCTTTTTACTGTAGCATAACTTTACAAGAAACTGTAGAGTATCCTGGGGCTTTGTGGCCATCTAGACAGCTGGATCAAGTCTATTTCAGCCCGATCCACTGTCCAGATGCACTTTTCTACTATCACCCTTTCCCTCAGTTCTGGAAAGGGGATAGCTCGTATCCGTGTCACTGTCACCACTTCTTACTAGGCATAGAGCTTTGCCTGACCATGACTTGTCACATCTGATAAGATCAGAATGGGATGCCTGTGTGAGCAGTAGGAAGGTGGAGGCAATTCTACCTACTCTGTTATAACCTTATTTCTTGGTTTTGTATGAAGCCAGGAAATGAGACCATGCCTTAGACTTGGCCTGTATATATTTAGAACAAGGGAGAGAGTTGCCATGGAAATGGGAGCAATGAAGGGGAGGGGCCAGGGTGAGGGATAGGAGGTGTGAGGGAAATAAACTGTCAGTTGGAATTTTGTTTTGTACCATGATGTATGCTTTTGAATAAAGCCTTCCCACTTTGTTCGTGAGGTAATTTCTTTGCCAGAAAGCTACAGATCTGAACATCCTCCTTGTTAATTGTGCAGGCACCCCAATGTGATCTCAGCAGATGCAATGGGCAATAGCCAGGGGTTCACAGGGAGTTCCATGACTGGTAAGGGTGTTGTGAGAACAAGGGGATGAGCTAGCAAGAGAACGGGCTGGACCCTCTGGACACATGTTACCAGATTCAGAAGATATACACTGGATGTAGGGCAGCTCCAGGGCACAAATACACAGATTAACCTGCTATACACACAGCCCCAGAGATGTTGAATCTGGCCATGAAATACATGTAATTGTAATAAAGGCCAACTCAACACTACATACTCCCAATTTTACTCACCTGGAGTGATTTTAGTTTGACACAGTCTTAAAGTATAACCAGAAACCTTTCCATTCGCAGGCATAATACTGTAAGGAGACCCATTGGTGGACATTTTTAAATAGCATTTACATTTCCTAAAAAGTAAGCAAAATCAAGGTTGTATCATTCTGAACTGTATGCATTAGGCCTGTCCGGTTTCGTTCGTTAATTCGTTAATTCGTTATTAATTCGTTATTTTTGGCATTTTTGAAGCGATATCAAAACACATTTCCAAACCCGGAAGGGTTTTAAAATATCGAACCAGCAGCCCCCATAGATTTAACGAGCTTCCGCTCGTTTCGTTAATGGGGTGGAGGCTGCTGGAGTGCTGGTGCCTGGGAGCCAATCAGGCGCTCCCAAGCAGTGCACTGTGGGTCCGTGGCTGTTTGTTTTTGATTGGCCGGCGAGCCCTTTCAAAGCGGCTCCGCGCGGCCGTAGCTCATTGCTGCAGAGGGCGAGGGAGTTTGCATTGGTTTGGCTTGGCTAATGGCTAGCAACTGGATTGGATTCATTCCTTGCTGCTGTGAGTGCTGCTTGCTTCATTTGCTGTCTCCCGCCTGTGTTTGGTCCACATTTGGGCCATTTTTTGGTTAATTTTCCATTTAAAAATATTTTTAATATTATTTTAATATTATTTTTAATATTATTTTAATATTATTCTAAAAATATTCTAAAAAAGAAAAGACTCTTCTGTTGGTGTGTGCTCTCATTTGCTGTCTCCTGCCTGTGTTTGGTCCACATTTGGGCCATTTTTTGGTTAATTTTCCATTTTAAAATATTTTTAATATTATTTTAATATTATTTTTAATATTATTTTAATATTATTCTTAAAAAATATTCTAAAAAAGAAAAGACTCTTCTGTTGGTGTTTTCTCTCATTTGCTGTCTCCTGCCTGTGTTTGGTCCACATTTGGGCCATTTTTTGGTTAATTTTCCATTTTAAAATATTTTTTAATATTATTTTAATATTATTTTTAATATTATTTTAATATTATTCTTAAAAAATATTCTAAAAAAGAAAAGACTCTTCTGTTGGTGTTTTCTCTCATTTTGCTGTCTCCTGCCTGTGTTTGGTCCACATTTGGGCCATTTTTTGGTTAATTTTCCATTTTAAAATATTTTTTAATATTATTTTAATATTATTCTTAAAAATACAAAAAATATTCTAAAAATTCGTTAATATTTACAAAATTTCGTAAATAACAAAACTTTTTTTTGGAAAGTTTTGTAAATATTTTAAATATCGAAACAAAAAAACACCCCAATTACAAATCGATTTTAGAAACAAATTTTTTCTTGATCAAACAGGCCTAGTATGCATCATTACCTCACACATCAATTTTAATTCCATCTTTTTATACTGTGGGCTTTTAAAATGAGCCAAATTGAGACTCTCAAAAACTCACCCTTCTTGGTTGCACAGAGCTTTGTCAGAATTGTAAGTAAAAAACTGGCAGCGGATGGTGTCTGTACAAAGCTGTTGACATGCCTGGTGTCCGTTGACATATTCCTCACTCAATTCCGTTCCCAGAAAATTTAAATCAGAAAAAGTAGGGGAATGACAAGCTGTAATTTTTGAGAAACATTGCTTTTAAAAATTACCAGCAATTTAGCATGACATGGAAATAAATTGGTTGACTAGAGTGTTTTGTGTTCTGCTAAGTACAGCATATAAATTACCTGGTGTAGCCATTTTACAGCTTTGGAGACTGTAACCTGACTGAGTATTTTCCACTCCTTCAAATACATCTGGTGTTCCACTTCTTGATGTCATCATTACACAAGTATACCTGAAGCAAGCACACTGAATAATCAAAACTGATGTTGACACACTGTATTTCTGACTCTCTGGGGCTGGATGAGATATCACATTCTGAAATCCTACAATTTCTGGTTTTGCCAGAATTGAAAACAAGTCTCCTTTTTACTGCCCATTTAAAGCGGCAATCATTTATAGTTCTGTGTATTGTAATAAGCCCAAATGTTGGCCTGCATTAGGCTGAGCCATATCCCATCATCCCCTATTTACTGGACAATATCTGAAGCCCCCTCCCACGGGCACACCCTGTTTTCTGTGGAGTAGAGATGGAAAAATACTCAACAATATTGTGGGAAATGATCAAAAACATGTTTTGAAAAATGTTGGAAAACTCTAATATGAAGAATCCTGAACTGATTGCACTCTTCACAGTTTTTTGAAGATCTGGACAAATTTCATGCATGACTGTTTTGTGCGCAAAACCACATTTTGTGCAGAAATCCTGTCTCTTGCAAAGAAAATGCTGCATTTGAGAATTAAGTCTGCATGAAGTTCACATGTGGTAATTTACATATTAAACCATTTTCTGTATAGAAAACAGCTTGTTTGTGGGGGGAAATAATGCTGCATTAAAATATAATTTTCTGTGCAGAAATCACTGTGTAAAGAAACATAAAAATTCTGTGCAGAATAAGTCCCAAATTTCAAATAGCTTTAGGAAACTAGACTTCTGGAGATTTTATTATGGTGGAAAATACCATGCTGTTTGGTTTAAGAAGCTCTTTAATAGGGATGTCATTCACGCGTAATTTTAGCAATAACATAAACAACATCATGAAGACCAATGAGCTATGAAAATGAGTCTGAGAGAAAGTTGTGTCAAAGTACTAATAAATCAGGACAGGTGTGTATGGTGGGGGGGGGGGTTAAAATCACAATTTAAAGATCTTCTCACAGAAGAACTAAAATTGCAAAAATCACTTTTTTTTTTAAAGAAGGAACACTGAAGGGTTCAATTCCTGGTGGGGAGTAGGCAGGATCACAGAAGTGTCCGACTGTGTTCCCATTACCAGCCACAAAATTATTACAGCAGTGCTGAAACCTCCAAAAGACCCCAGTGTTTCTCAGTACCAATGTCATCCTTTTATATCTAGCTATGAGTGACTGCTTCTATGACCTTGTCTATTCCTCATGAAGCAGGGAATTGCTTTGTAAGGAGCAGGACTTCAGTGGCTGTTCTTAGGGGGAGGGAGAGGATATGACTACTGTGAAGGAAGGGAGACAATACCAATCTCCACAGAACCCAAAAAAGCATATACCCATGCGTAAGGGAAGCTTATACTTGTGAATGTCTCTAGGAGGCTGAATTAATACTTCTATAACAAAGTGCATTGCGGGGTAACTGAAACCACACTGGATTTTACCATTATCCCTTCCACAACTGCTCTAAATTGCATGGTAACTTTGTAACAGCCAAACCAGACTCCAGAACTGGTGATGCTCTTGGCCAACCCAGAAAGCTTCAGGAGGAGTAACAATCAAATTCACCATGGATTTCGTGCTCTTAAATGAGTAGATCCATGGGACACACTTCCCAAATTGATTTAATACTGGTTTGGGTTAAATATGATGTTGCTTGTGTAAATAAAATAAAATGAAAAAAATTAAACATGCTTGGCACCATACTGAAACAGCATTGGCTCATGCATTGGCATGGGAAACATAGTGACTGTGAATACCCCTAAAATATGAAACACTAGAACACATTAGCAAGTAGTTTTGGCTTTTAAAACTTTATATTTAACCTTGTGCTTTCATTATGAAAATTGTGCTTGAATTGTCATCAGTCTTAGAAAATTACTCAAGAGAACATACTGGACAGAGGCTGCCATGATTAGGTATATACTGTTAGTTGTAGCTCCAGACTGTAACTTCTATCATTCATCTCCATTATCTATACTGGCTAGGACTGATGAGAATTGTACTTCAGATCTGTTCCCCAAGAATAGAAGAGCCAAGGGGATTGGAAGTGACAACTGGAGGAAGAGTGCCATCACTGTCGTTCTCCAGTATCTGCCACCTGAGCCAGTTGCTTCATTTTGCCTAATAATAGAGCCAAACTTGTATAGGGATCTCTTCACATGGGTTTAATTTCGGTGGCAGCAACTAGTTTTCCCCCACTTTCATCATGGAGCCTGCCAGCTCCCACCACACACATTAAAACTACTTCCAGGGCAGTTCTGTGGTGAAAGTGTAAAAAACCCCTGCCACCACCAAAAAATTGCCTCCAGCAGACAAGTGGAGGCTCACTGTCTTTCCATAAGGAAAAATGAGTTGAGATGGCTTAAAGAGGTTTTCCCTCATGTGATGAGCTAAGGGGAAGCCAGGACAGTGTGTGGAGCAAGGCAGCAGATCCCCACGCTCCCTGGGCAGGCACCGCCAACATTACCACAATCCATGGCAATACTGGATGATTTGGGCAACGTGTGTGAAGAGGTCCTAAGAGAAGTCAATATCCATAGAATATTTAAGTTAATTGTCTCTTGAGCAATACCACTCTGAGAGCACAGCACTGTGGTTGTGAACATGAAAAAATGAGAAGCAGGCTGGTCTGGTCTGTTCATCTGAACATACAAGAATATCACAGGATCATACAACAGGATTAAATATACAGGCACCAGATATTATCTGATCTCAGAAATTAAATAGAACAACACCGTAGAGTAGACTATATTTCAGAGGAATCTTTTGGCAAATCACCTTTTCTTCTTGCCTGGGAAAACCATGTAAAAATCATAGGGCTGCATTGTTGAAGGCTTTCATGGCTGGAATCACTGGATTGTTGTAGGTTTTTTGGGCTGTATGGCCATGTTCTAGAAGCATTCTCTGCTGACATTTCACATGCATTTATGGCAGACATCATCAGAGGTTGTGAAGTCTATTGGAAACTAGGGAAACTGGGTTTATATGGACCCAATTTTCCTAGTTTCCAACAGACCACACAACCTCTGTTGATGCCTGCCATAGATGCAGGTGAAACGGCAGGAGAAAATGCTTCTAGAACATGGCCATACAGCCCGAAAAAACTACAACAACCCATTAATAGGGTTGCCATTGATCATCCAAAGATTCGAAGTCACATATATTGCATTATGAAAGATCTATTTTTATCAACCCACCTTGTAAACATGTTATTAGAAAGCATGTTATTTTGCATGTATAAGAGCTAGACTCACCTTTCACTGCTCACACGCCATTCATGGTTGTAGAACGTAAAAAACAAACAGTTTGGATGGTAAGTACAAGTCATTCTACATACAAAGACATCCGGTGTCAAAACCTTTGCAAGGGTAACTCCAGAAAATGCTTGTTGCTGAAAAATCTCCCGCCGACAATCTGCAGAGAAAATTAATTGGTGAAGTCAAGATATGTATAAAATCTACATTGAGCTGGATTATATGGCATGGTGGACTCAGGTAACTCAGTTCAAAGTATATTGTGGAGTATCTGCCTTGATATTCTGGGTTATATGGCTGTTTGGAAAGGTCATTTGACTGTTAAAAAGTTCATTTATTGTCACTTTTGTCTGATGAGCTGTAGTTTCTCTCTGAATTCCAACCGCAATGCTTGGCTCATTGTAAAATATCATTCAATAGGACCAGGAGAACTTCAAATCCTCTTCTCATCTCAATGATCAAACTCATTAAGTAGCTGACACAAGAGCTTACAGTGCAGGTCGATTAAAAGTTAGGGCATAATGCAGCATGATTTATAAAGTAGTGTATACTCTCAAATAAGACTTAAAAGTGATTCTTCATATCAGACCTGGATTATATCAAATTATATCACTTGCTCTGCTATCTGATGGTTCTGAGACTTGTAGTCCAAAAATAATGTTACCAAGGTTTTTCTTTTATTGCATTTTATAATATTTCTATCTTGACTGGAACTCAAGAGGTTTGAGAGCAAGGTTAAAACAAGATGGGGATAAAACTCAATGATAAAGGTAACACAATTAAACAAGCTATATATTAGAACACTCTCATTCAAAATGTATGTGTTTGTATGTAGATAAGATTAGACAGATGGTAGATAATGACAAATAGCTAGATGATTCTGTCCACACCGATAACCATATCATCTTCTGGAACGTATCAGAAACTTGTTATTTTTTAGATATATGTGGGACACATTGCATTGCACAGAAATACATATGGTAATCTCCAATGTACTATCTACCTTATTTTCTTTCAGAATATAAATATTTACCTTGATCAAATCGTTGACAGGGTTTTAATGAAAATCCAGATATAACACCTTCAAGCTGCTTTATCTGGGTTGGCGTTCCTGTGCTACTATATTTCAAGTAGCATTGATGACTGAGTGAAAAAGAGATGCACATGTTAGTACAAATCCTTACTCAACCTACAGATTACCTGAGTTTTACTCCCTCATCCTGTCATCTCTCACAATAGTACTTTCTAACCCTTATTAGAATATATATATTACATTTTATTTGTTACCCACTGCTCAAGGTGAGGTACAACAAGTCAAAACATATGAACATAAAATACATACAATAAAATATATAGAAAAAAACATACACCAAACACAGGGTACAAAAATCAAGATATAGCAGCAAGAGAATGCAAATTCAAAACTCATGATTTGAAGTTGACTGGGTAGGCCAGCTGGAAGAGATGGGTCTTCATTTGAGCTCATATAGCTGTCAGAGCTCTTCCAGCAGGTCATTCCAGAGCCTTGGGGTGGCCATTGAAAAGGTCTTCTGAGTGATGGTTGCCAGTTGGGATCTGGCTGGTTGGAGAAAACCCTGCCAGAAGTATCCCTGCATCATGTGATGGGCTCCGGCGGGCTCCATCCTGGCTGCATCGTGGCAGTGTCCTAGGATGTGTGATGAAGTCCTTAGTCTCAGAGCTTCTTGGAATTAAGTTAACATGCCAGGTTTGTGACAACATTGAGATGGTTTGCCATTTCCCCTTCTGTTACGTTGTGGCCTGTACTGTGAACAGGCCACAACGTAACAGAAGGGGAAATGGCAAACCATCTCAATGTTGTCACAAACCTGGCATGTTAACTTAATTCCAAGAAGCTCTGAGACTAAGGACTAAATCCTGCCTTTTTAATCTGAGCTCCATAATAAACATGTAAAAAAGCTAAAGATAAAGGATTTCCCTGACATTAAATCTAGTCAAATCTGACTCTGGGGGGTGGAGTTTATCTCCATTTCTAAGTCCAAGAGATGGCTTTGTCCGTAGACGCCTCCAAGGTCATGTGGCTGGCATGACTGCATGGAGCACCGCTGCTTTCCCACCAGAGCGGTATCTATTGATCCACTCACATCTGCATGTTTTCAAACTGCTAGGTTGGCAGAAGTTGGGAGTAACAGTGGATGCTCACCCCACTCCCTGAATTTGAATCCCTGACCTTTTGGTCAGCAAGTTCAGGAGCTCAACGGTTTAACCCGCTGCACCACCAGGAGCTCCCATACACATGTAACAGATTAGGAGATAAACCCTAATTCTGAGAGAGGTAGTCGAAATATCGCTCTGGAGTAAAACAGGGAGATAGTTTGAAAAAATAAAAACCCAACCAGGCACAAGGTTTGACTGGTTTTTTGCAGATCTTAACTCTTCAGAATAGCAATGCTCTAGTTGTAGTAATGACTCACGGTGGCAGTCCTGTAAAGTAGACTAATATTATTGCCTCTGTGGACCTAATTGGAATAATGTTTCTATAAAATATTTTGGCATGTGAGGTTACTGATGATGTCCAATTCACATGCATTCTGCTTAAAAAATGAACACATTCAAAGGCCAGCTAGTGCGTGGGAGAACGAATTTCCTTTTTTCCAACTAGGTTTGCCAGGTATTGCACAATGGAGATTAAGTATAGCATATAAAGAGCTGTTGGAGCTTTCCAGCATGCCCCTACTGATGAAACATCGCAAAGCTCATTCAGGCTATCAATAATAATAAAAAGTAATTAGAGATCAATCATTCCAAAATGAGTAGAGACCTTTTCTAGGAGGAGACAGAGTCCAGTAGCTCATGAGTAAATTATGCTAGTTCTCTTTCCCCAAGGCATTGCAGACCTTTGCAGGATGCAACAAGCAGTAATCTGAGGCCCCTTCTACACTGTCCTATATTGCAGGATCTGATCCCAGATTATCTGTTTATCTCAGATTATCTGGCCATAGAGACTCATATAATCCAGTTCAAAGTAGATAACCTGGGATCAGATCCTGGGATATAAGAACAATATAGAAGGTGCCTGACGGTCTGTTTATTAATCCTGGAGTGATGTTCTCAAGCCACTCTTGCCCTGTATTGGGCGATTACTGGACTCTAATGCCTAACATGCTTGACTGACTGAGGCTAATTTGACAAAACCAAAAGCTTCACTGGCTAAGCTTGAGAAGGTTACTTTTCTGGACAGTGGACAGGACATGTTGTATTGGTGAGTCCAACAAAGTTACTTTTCCAGGTTCTTGTGCACCACTCTGATACTCTTGCCATTGACAAACTGTGATTTACTAAAGCTGAACTGATGCTTTGCCCAGTGCCCATGACAGTCTCCCTGATTTAAAATATCTGAATGCTGCTTACCGTAGGTCTGCTTGATGAAATGATGCCGTGGCATATGTGAAAAAGTAACAGTGGGCCTCTTTGGTGCATCGTTTTTGGCACTGTTCAAAACTGTCAGCAGTTGTTGCATTGTAACTGTCTCCCACCATGTTCAGTCCTTCATAAATATCCTTATTGCAAGCTGGAACGAGGGAGGAAAGCAAGACAGTCAGCTAAAGTAGAAGAAAACTATGCTTTAAGGCAGTGTTTCTCAACCTGAGGGTTGGGACCCCTGGAGGGGTCACAAGGGGGTGTCAGAAGGTCACCAAAGACCACCAGAAAACACAGTACTTTCTGTMGATTATGGAGGATCTGTGTGGGAAGTTTGGCCCAATTCTATCGTTGGTGAGGTTCAGAATATTCTTTGATCGTAAGTGAACTATAAATCCCAGCAACTACAACTCCCAAATGTCAAGGTCTATTTTCCCCAAACTCCACCAATGTTCACATTTGGGCATATTGAATATTCATGCCAAGTTTGGTTCAGATCCATCGTTGTTTGAGTCTACAGTGCTCTCTGGATYTAGGTGWACTACAACTCCAAAATTCAAGGTCAATGCCCACCAAACCCTTCCAGTATTTTCTGTTGGTCGTGGGAGTTCTGTGTGCCAAGTTTGGTTCAATTCCATTGCTGGTGGAGTTCAGAATGCTCTTTGATTGGAGGTGAACTATAAATCCCATCAACTGCAACTCCAAAATGACAAAATCAACCCCCCTAACCCCACCAGTATTCAAATTTGGGCGCATCGTGTATTTGTGCCAAATTTGGTCCAGTAAATGAAAATACATCCTGCATATKGGATATTTACATTACAATTCATAATAGAAGTAAAATGACAGTTATGAATTAGCAACAAAAATAATTTTATGGTTGGGGGTCACCACAACATGTGGGCCTGTATTAAGGGGTCGCGGCATTAGGAAGGTTGAGAACCACTGCTTTAAGGCAAGTTTTTTTGCAGTTATACTTTGTGATCTAATGTCTTGTATTATCTACATTCTTCAGGGCTTTGGGAAGGGGGGGGTAGGCCTCCAGTTGTTCTTGTGGGCCAGTCCACAAGAGCATCTGGACACTCACCCCAGAAAGTGTGCAGTTTTTGGGGTGGGTGTGGACAGGCCCAGGAAAATTCACATTTTAAAAACGTGGATTCTCCTGAGATAAAGGCCTGCCTGGATCCACTCTGAGACATTTAAAAAACAATGTAATTGATTGGGACTATCCCCACCAAGCTAAGGAGAAGATCATATGTTTCATAAGATATTGTATTTTCCTGGGAACCGAATATTCTTGATTCTTACTAATAAATAATTTATCATTTGGCCATTTTCATTTGGGATAATCCAATGTAGTGATTTTAGTGATGGAGTAGGACACTGGAAGATCAGGGTTTGAATCTCTTCTCAGCCATGGAAACCTTCTGAATGACCTTAACCATGTCAAACACTCTTAGTTCAGAGGAAGGCAAAAGCAAACTTTTTCTGAACAAATCTTACCAATAAAACACTCTGAAAGGTTGTCTGAGGTTGGATCTACACTGTCATATTATCCAGTTCAAATCATATAATCTGGATCTTATATGGCTGTGTAGATGCAGTCTGAGACTCACTACAAGCTAGAAATTGCTAGAAGGTACACAACAAAAGCAATGGTTTACCATGATGGGAATTGTAATCCAACAGATCTAGAACAGTGTTTTAGGACCTCATCACATGGGGAAAATTCCCCATCCTAGAACACTTCACCCACACAGCCAGCACAGAGCCCACCAGATCACATGATGCACATATACTTTAGGAAAACTGTTTTGACAAAATGTGCTAGGAGGAGAAAATCTGAACATAGGAAACTACCATGTTCAAATAGAAAATAATGAGGACAGTGCGGGAGCACACCAGAATGGTACGCTTTCCGGCGTGTGATGGGCAAGTGGGTGGTGTAGGTGATGCAGGATGTTGGGTGACTGATCCCCCCACTGTCCCATAAGTTGCCCCACTCCTACAGACCCCCCCCCCACTATCCCCCACGTGAAGGACCTTCATGTGAAGAGGTTCTTAGATGACTGGGACTCATCTGTAATGGCCATTTCAAGCAGTTCAATTCTAGCATCAAATTGCAGCAGACAGACACAAAATTCCCACAAAAGTGCACAAAAGAAAGCCCTTAATGCGTATCAGTGTTTTTTGGTTTGCACAATCCTCTTGTGGGCCTATCTAATCATATACAGGCAGTCCCCCAAGTTATGAACAAGATAGGTTTTGAAGGTTCGTTCTTAAGTTGATTTTGTTTGTAAGTTGGAACAGGTACATTTTTAAATATAACTCCAGCCATATGTGTGTGTGTGTGTTAGCTTTGGATAGCATAGGGAAGGTTTAACATCCGTGTGGTATTTATTTTGCTGTTTGTGCCTCTGCCCATATGATAATTGGATTTTGAAAACTAATTGGCTTGTCATAGAAACAAGGATTAGCGATAGAGCTTCATTTGAGAGACTTCTTCCCATGATAACCCTTTCACAAGTCAATTTCCCTTCCTAGGTGTAGATTTCTCTCACTTCCTCTTGTCTCACCTCCATTCTTAACTATGAGTCGTTTGTAAGGCGGATGCTTGTAACTTGGGGACTGCCTGTACACCAAAACTGCTTTATTCAATAGCAGATTGAAACTGCATTAAATGGTCAGTGCAGATGGAGGTTAATCTCTCTCTTTGGCCTTCAATTTCCAGAACATCCAACTTATATAACTAATTATGGGATTCTAAGAGCAGAAGTCAAAAACATCTTAAGGACAAAGCCATGCCACCAATCATCAAACTTTAATATGAGATACACTTCCAAAAGTATCTCTCCTGTATTTTCTGAAGCATAGAAGGGCACCAATTTGTTCAAATAGCTTTTATCCATGCATTAAGCACTATGGTATGAAACGCGATCTATTCTTTCTATTACAAAGCTTCTAAGCAACATCTGAACAGAGCTATAGTTTCAAATTACATCTTCAGATTACATTTTACATTCTGCCAGTTGCTCTCTCCAATTTTGAAATATCACTTACTTCCTATACATCTCTTTTCCTTTATTTGCCTTTTCACTTCCAATCAATTTCATATTGAATGGCTGTATCCCAAGCTCAGGTTGTCTATATCTAAATCTTGCCCATAACAATTTTTCTTAGTTACTGCTCAACAATAACAATCAATCTCAAAAATTAAGCAGAATCACACCTCTCTGGTAGTCAAATAAAAGACCTCGAAGGAATACCAGGTGTTGTAAAGATTGTAGTTCAGTGATAAAGCAAAAAAAGGCCTATAGTATGGTAGCCAGATCATCCAAACCCTGATGGTGCAGGCCAAATCTTGCCATTCAAATATACAAAGACATACATGCAGACTGAACACATTTTTTTCTTTTTTGATATTGAGATAGAATTCTTAGTTAAAGGAGCGGTTTTGTTGTTTAGACTGGTCCCATTTTCAAAATATTTCATTATGTACATATATGCAAATATAAATATTTAACTACCCCATCCCACCCCCAAAAAATCCACAATCCAAAACATTTCTGGTCCCAGGCATATCAGATAAGGCAGGCCTGTACAACTTGGTTGACCCTTGTGATGGACCAAGATTTCCCATTAAATCCTTCTGCAAGCCACACCCCCTCCTCCACCCCCTCCTCCTCCCCTTCCCCATGGGGAAACCAGGCCTCACCTCAGCTGTGTGGCATTCCCATAGGAATGGTGTATGGCTGAGAAGGTGTCTGAGCACTCAGTGAGACCCGGACAAGCGCCGTGAGGTTGTGGGGAGGTGTGAGTTTGCCTGTAGCCAACAGGGAAGGCCTTCATGGGCTGCATCTTGCCCATGGACCATATGTTGTGCAGGACTAAGATAAGGGAGAATCAATTTGTACTGAGCTGTATGGACCAATGGATTGCCTTAGCATATGATAAGACCACCCTTTGCTTTTTGGATTTTGAATAACCTGACATTACCAGTGACTCGAGAGCACTGTTTCCGGGAATGTCCAGAGATTGCACCTTCCATAGATTCCTTTGGCAACGTAAGAGTGTCACTATCTCTCAAAAAGCAGGCAAACCTGATTTTAAAGAAGCAAGAAAGTAAATCATTTATACTGCGTGCATTGCCGATAAGTACAAAAGCAAACATTTCCTTTCCATTGTCTCTCCACTGCTGAAGTTTTATCCAAGTGACTTGGAAATAAAACCCTTCTTGTTTGCTTATTGATAGGTATATTACCATTTGTGTTACCTTAATTTATAACCCAACTTGTTTCCCACACAATACAGCTAAACACATACAAAATATTAACATTAAAATTGTGATGGCACGCTCGAGCCTTTTCAGGAAACTATATTGTCTGGTTTTACTCAGGGGCTATCCGTATAACTTCTGTTAAGATTAAGACACTTTAACACACAGAGGCACTTTAGGCAAGGTGAAAAGATAACCAAATGAAACAAGATGAATAAAGAGTTAACTCCACCTGGGACTACATTACAAATACATTACAAAAGGAGATGTTGCTAGTTGCAGTCATCTTTCTAGGGTCTTTGAAAGTCTTTTGCCTCTGTTTGTAGAGCAGTTATAAGTTGTTGCTTACAAACTGCCTTAATCTTCTCTCCTGTGAAGCTTAGGATGGCCAAAAGCTTCTGTTGTTCTTTGGACTGATAGTATAATTATACTGCTAAATGCAGCAGCAGGTGGTAAGAATGACTGTTTTGGATTGCTAGGCCTAGTGTTCCAGACAATATCAAAGCCTTTAATTCACTGTAGCTCTGCTGTAGAAAGAAGGAGGAGTCCAGCAAAAAGCTCTGTGCAGGGAAAAGGAATAGACCAACTAAGACTGGCCTCTGAGGGGTGTTTAAGCTCCATCCAAAAACTAATACAGAGGAAGGTAACTACACTACTGGGAAAGCCTATACAGGGGAGAACTAAAGCAGAAGAAGGGAAGGCAGAGCTAAGACTTCACAAAAATGTGCAAGCAGCCCTCCATATCTACCAATTCTGTACCCATGGATTCAACCATCTATGGCTTAAACATATTTTTAAAAAGAAGTCCTAAAAGCTAACCTTGATTTTGTCATTTTAAATAAGGGACATCATATTACAACATCATTGATTCACAATCCAAATGTTTATTTACAGTCAGCAACCAGTATATAATCCCACTTTATAATCATCCATCCACATCAGTACACTGTTTACATTAGTTTAGGATATAAATTAAAATTTAACACCATTACTTATAAGACCTTACTCTGTGTAATTAACATGTAACCAATGCATAACTAACACATAATTAAAATTATTTGGAAAAACAACACTGAATTAATGGTATGTTCCATACAGGAACTTATGAAATCAGCTGTATACTAATGACACGTCATGCCTGCATAGCAGCACCAGTTATCTAGTGATTTCAGCTTTACCTTAGAGAAGGTTCTACCCAGCTTCCTGGAAGATAGGTGAAAAAAAGACATCGTGGATGATATGTGCATACAATCCGACAGTGCTCAAAATCTGGTGTATAAACCTTAGAAATAGCTCCTCCACTGAAAACTGTATTTTCATAGATCCGAGAAACACATTCTGCAATCAAAGAAGAGTACAAAATGTTACTCTGCAGCCCACAAATCTTTTTTTAATCAAAAAAAGGAGCAGAGAAACATTTCTTTTTTCAACTGAAATCCCTGGAATCCCAAACATCCCTGGCCCAGAATATGATAGGAATAATTGTAAGTTCTGACCTTTAAAGCCCTGCATGGTTTGGGTCCAGGTAATCTATAGGATCATCTTCTCCCATATAACCTTCCCATTAAGACATTGAGGGCACTTCCAGACAGTGGCAAGATACGAGTTTTAAATAGAAGATAAAAAATGCCCAGGACCTGAAAACATACTCCCACACAGACCTGTGGGTCCTGGGATTTCTTCCCCCACCTTCCTCACAGGTTTCCTCTGTATTGGAACAAGATGGAGGGTGGACAGTGAACATCCAGCGGAAGAGTTTTTAAAAAAATACTCCGTTATGCCCTGGACTGTATACAAATATCTTAATAAATACAAGTAGATTGGCATGTGCACATATGAGGTTCAGCACATAATGGAAGGATATTTTTTTAAAAAAAACTTCTGACAGATTTCTCTTTCCCCCCAATTGTTTATTCAAGCTCAGTTTAATATTATAAAGTTTAAAATAAAGAGTTTCAGACTTCTAATTGATCTCCATTCATGTTTCCTTTAAATCAGCTGTGTGTCCGTTTCACAGCCCAATCAGCTGATTTGTTTTGTGTTTTGGGTTATTTAGAAATGGACATGTGCTGAAGCAATATCCATGTGGGAGGGAAGGAAATCACATGACTTTCATGAGTACAGAGATATAAAGTGATGCTAATATGCACATTTTCTAATCAGAATCAGGATAAAATGGAACTTATCCTGTGTTTTTTTGTCTGTTGCAGTGAATCAGCACAGATTTACTACTAGTGTCATGTAACCACCCCCTTTTTTAACTTGGAAAATTCTGTGTTTAAGGTGCTGTGTAGATGGGCCCTGAGATCCACTGGGGGCAGGGTGGTTGGCTAATAGGATTGGATAGGTTCATTCGGAAAAGCCTGAACGTCATTAAAAACTTCCAAATTTTGACTTTCGAAGCAGTTTTGAACCATGCAGGAAAGGTGGGGGGGGGATCCGAATTTGAACCACTTACCTTTTTTTTGGAAATATTCCATAATGTTTGGGTGTCTCCCTAGGTTATTTTAATTTTCACAACCATTAAGCAACTTTGGTAAAGAAGTTATAAAAGTTCATGATTTCCCTCCTCCGGCAATGCAAGGGTGGGATGAGGTGGGCGTGGCTAAGCACAGCCATTGTTGTAGTTTGTGAAGGCCAGGCCCCCAATGGTAGAGGTTGCAAAAGGCCCTGCTGTTAAACGACATTTCCCACACTGCCCTGCTGCTCATTAGCCAAAATGGCTGAAGACCCACTATAGCTGTCTGTAGCAGTCTTTGTCTAAAAATAAAATAAACTGATTGAATCTACAAAGGTGTCTAAAGAAGGCAGCAAAGCAATAAGCAACTTTTGCAAAGCCAAGAGAACATAAACTGCTTAAAAACCAATCATTTCACTTTGGCCTGATTGCCATGAACAAGGCACTGGGGTAGCCAGTTAGCCCTTTACGTCAGTAAGTAATGATAAAATAAAATGATTGATTTAATCTGCAAATAGGAATAAATTGATGTATCTTGAGGGTCCCCTCCAACTCAGTAGAGGAAGCAAATGGATGTCAGGAGAGTTTGGATGGTGCCTGCTTTGCCCAGAAGAAGGGGATCAGTCTAGATGTCTCTTGATGGGGCCTGTACAATGATTTCTGTTCTCCACCAATTTAACACAGTTTGTGCCACAGAAACAAAGTTTCTGTGATCCTTGTCTAACTTATTTCTTTCCCATCTGCTTTTTGCATTTTGAGAAAATGGGAACTCCACTCTACCCAGAATTCAAAGAATTTGCGTATTTACGATATATAGGCTAGTAAACATTTTACATATAATACAGTGTTGATGTGTTTTGCTCAATGGAGTTTGATTCTGGAGACCAAGGTTCCAATCCCTTCTTAGGCATGGAAACCTACCAAGACCAAGAGTATGACTTTCCCAAAATCACCCATAGAGTGTCCATGGGAATCAAATCGTGGTTTTCATAGTCATAGTCCAACGCTCAAACAATTACAGCATGTTGGTTGTCTCTTTATTAATAGACAGGATTTAAGTTGGCAAACATATTTTCAAGCCAGAGAATGGGGAATTCTTTGTCTAAGAAAAAGCCAGCTGTCACCATATAGATACAGGCCGATTTAATCACCTAATTAACTAGAGCTCATAATTAACTTGCAGGAAATCCTATGAGCCACACTAAGTCTGCCATCCTATGTGCAGTTCTTTCTTCTAAATAAATATGAATATGATAAGTCTGTAATTTTTCTTTAATCACATCAGTTTTAAATGTCATACTTTAAATATTTTTAAAGATGAGGGGAAGCTATGTAATAATTAATTGTACCAAGGATTTGAGAATTGCAAGACTGTCCAGATCTTGGGCTTTGATTCCCAGCTTTCTTCACGGTTGCCTATGCTGGTTAGGGACTTAAAGTTAAATAATATCTGAAGGATTGTGTGAGTCCCACCCCATAGCAAAACATGAAATGTACAGTAGGGTGAAAAGATCATCAATATTAGTTGCCTTGACTTCTATTTTTAAAATGTTTATTCAATAAATAATCTAAACCTCACAGTACAATCCATTCATTAACAATTTCAAAGGGACCATAATAGAGATCCAATGCTAAGCAAAGTTATCATACTGTATCCAAATGAAAATGGGACAATAATATGTGTTAGGGGACAAGAAAACTTTATTTAATAACATATCCCCACAAAAAGAAATGTACTTGAGAAGTATGATCTACAATGGCTACTTAGTTATAAATATGTAACTAAATAATATTTTCTGTCCTGACCCTTCATAGTCTACCATAAGATCCAGCAGCTACACCAAGCTACTGGTTGTGTTGCAAAAGGATGACTTTTCCAGCCTCTTCTTGTCAATGAGCAAGCCTGCATTGGAAAATTACTACAAGGCTTCTACTTTTGTTCAGTCTCACTCTTTAGTGATAATGGGATGCTGGAAATGTCATCCTCCTTGCACCTCAATCAGCAGCTGAATAGATGACCTTTGCTTGATGTGGCTACTGGCTTTTTTGGGAGGAGTGTTTATGATCATGGCAATCATGTCGCGATTGTGACTACTAAGTTCTACTGATGTCACTGTTAATTCCCATGTCTTATACAAGCACTCTTTCCAATACCCGTAAGAAAACTCACCAGTCAATTTCCAAATACCATTTGAATGTTGAGGAGAGGGGAGTGATGTCTTTACTGTGTTTACTATGACTCAACTCTTAAGTGGGAGAAGGACAAAACTTCCATTAGACCATGCCAAAAGCAGGCACAAGAGGGAGAAAAGAGGCAAAAGTGTTAAGCCTTGTTGTCCATGGAAAAAACTGAATCAGATGAGAGCTGCTGCACTGTGTGTGTGCAATGTGTTTTAATCACTTCATTCAATTTCTAATTACATTAATGGTGTCTTTATAGCTTGACCATATGCCTCACTGCACCATTCAATTACTCCAGTGGCATTCAAAGTTTAAGAATCTCATCATATTGCGATCTACCAGCCTCTGTGGTGATTTGGCGGGACAGTAGGGCAATCCCGGCACTCACACCTCACCTCGCTCACAGTGGCCATCACTGCACTCACCCTGTTGTTTCTTACAGAAGCCTCTCATGTTCTGGGCACAGCATCGTAGGTTGATTGTGCCACAGTTATTCTATGGAGCCCCACTGGAAGTGACCATGCATCGTGTGATGGGCAGTGTGGGGCTCCGTAGACTAGTTGCGCTGCAAGCATCCTATGACATTTGCAGCAACCCATGTGATGAAGTCTTAGGACCCCATCTGCACTGACCATCTAGCTTCAAACTGCAGTGACAGACAACAATCTCACATGAATGTATATACAAGAAAGCCTGTAAAATGCTTTACTGCTCTATGGTTTGCGTAATCACCAATTGGGCCTCAAATTTGTTCCAGGATTTCTTGTGTAATCATCTGCACAGCAAAACTACTTTATTCGATCCTTGTTTGGAACTACATTAAATGGTCAGTGTAGATATGCCCCACGTTGCTCCACTGCAATAATATATAAAGGGTTACAAGTTCTCCACCTTTGACCATAAGATATTTTGCAAGATGCATGTCATTGATGAGGTTGTTCAGTTTCCCCCAAAAAAATTATAAATGACACTTCAGCTACACCCTTCCCAATATTATTAGTTGGACAAAGTATTCATGTCCCATGTTTTATCTCCTAAATATTCCCAGTGTAAAATTGATCATATATAAGAAGCAAATGTTTTTGTATAATATACTTACCACTATGTACTGAGGAAAACAATGCAATGTAATAAAAAGCTTGAGAAATCCAAGGCATCCTAAAACAAATGCAATAAAACATTTCAGTGTCTCTCAAAACTCTACTACAATTAGTATTTCAGAAGAAATTCTCAATAGCTTTAGGTTGCAAGATTATTATTTTATTTATTTATTTTGTATGCTTATATACCGCAATATCTCAGCCTACAACGGCGACTCATTGCGGTTAACAGTACTTAAAAACAACAATAATCAAACAATTTAAAAGCATAAAAAACATATACAGTACACAGTATCGGGCCACCAATACAGACCGATGCATCTCTTAGTTAAGATCATAATCCAATTTCGTCGTCTATAATTACCAGTCCTTGATCATCAACTTCATCGCACCGGATTAACCGAATGCTTGTTCAAACATCCATGTCTTCAGTTTTTTTCGAAATACCAACAGCGAGGGAGCTGATCTTATCTCTATAGGGAGGGCATTCCAAAGCCGAGGGGCCACCACAGAGAAGGCCCTGTCTCTCGTTCCCGCCAGCCGCACTTCTGAAGCCGGAGGGACAGAGAGCAGGGACTCTCCAGAAGATCTTAGGGTCCTGGTTGGCTGATAGGCTGAGATACGTTCGGATAGATATGTTGGGCCAGAACCGTTTAGGGCTTTAAAGGCCAATGCCAGCACTTTGAATTGGGTCCGGTAGCTAATCGGCAGCCAGTGGAGCTGGTACAGCAGAGGAGTTGTATGCTCCCTGCGCCCTGCTCCTGTTAGTACCATGGCTGCCGCCCGTTGGACTAGTTGGAGCTTCCGAGCCGTCTTCAAAGGCAACCCCACGTAGAGAGCGTTGCAGTAGTCTAAACGGGATGTAACCAGAGCGTGGACTACCGTGGCCAAGTCAGACTTCCCAAGGTACGGGCGCAGCTGGCGCACAAGTTTTAACTGTGCGAATGCTCCCCTGGTCACCGCCGAAACCTGGGGTTCCAGGCTCAGCGATGAGTCCAGGATCACACCCAAACTGCGAACCTGTCTCTTCAGGGGGAGTGCGACCCCATCCAACACAGGCTGTAACCCTATGCCCTGTTCAGCCTTGCGACTGACCAGGAGGACCGCTGTCTTGGATTCAATTTCAATTTGTTCACCCTCATCCAGACCGTCACAGCGGCCAAGCACCGGTTCAGGACCTCGACAGCCTCCTTAGTAGCAGGTGGGAAGGAGTGACAGAGTTGGACAGCATCTGCGTACAGATGACACCGCACCCCGAAACTCCGGATGATCTCACCCAGCGGCTTCATGTAGATGTTAAACAACATGGGGGACAGTATTGAACCCTGAGGAACCCCACAAAACAAAGGTTGTGGGGTAGAACAGGAGTCCCCCAGTAACACCTTCTGAGACCGACCCTCGAGGAATGACCGGAGCCACTGCAGAACAGTACCTCCGAGACCCATTCCCGCGAGGCGTCCCAGAAGGATACCGTGGTCGACGGTATCGAAGGCCGCTGAGAGGTCGAGTAGCACCAACAGGGACACACTCCCCCTGTCGAGCTCCCGACGCAGATCATCCACTAAGGCAACCAAGGCTGTCTCGGTACCATGCCCCGGCCTAAAGCCAGACTGTGCCGGATCCAGATAATCCGTGTCTACCAAGAATGCCTGGAGTTGTGAGGCCACCACACGTTCCATGACTTTGCCCAAGAAGGGGAGATTGGAAACAGGCCGATAGTTGACGAATTGAGGTCTGTGTTTTACAGCGCATATTTTACCAAATGAACCTCATAGTGATGAGTACTATTGCTTAATAAGTCAAAGAATTATGTTGTTTTATGTAAGTATGAATACTTTACAGCTGATACCCTTTCATTTCAGCATGTCACTGTGGCCCCTTCCACACAGCTGACTAAAATCCCACACTATTTGCTTTGAATTGGGATATATGGTAGTGTGGACAAAGATAATCCAGTTCAAAGCAGATAGTGTGGGATTTTCTTTCTTTATATCTGGGCTACCGTATATACTCAAGCATAAGCCGAGTTTTTCAGCCGAAGAAGCCCCTTGAGTTCACAGCAAGACTCAAGGAGCAAAATACAGGGCAATTCTAGAGGGATCTGTGCAGGGATCTGTGACTAGACTGGAGGGTCAGTAGGATGAAGCAACACTATAGTGTTTTTAAAAAAACAAGAATCTGGTTGTGTTAAAATGAACAAGTCAAAACACAGACCTCACTTTGATTGAGTATCTGTGGTAAAACTTGAAAGTTGCTATTCACCTGAGATTTCATCCCACCGAACACTTCAAGTGTTTGAAAGAGTGAGTTTACCATAAAGCTCAGGCATACTCTGTTTTGAAATTAAATGAATGTTTTTTCTACCTAAACCACTGAGCTGCTGAACTTACTGACCGAAAGGCTGGTAGTTCAGATCCAGGGAGCAGGCTGAGCTCCCGCTGTTAGCACGAGCTTCTGCCAACCTAGCAGTTTGAAAACATGCAAATGTGAGTAGATCAATAGGTAGTGCTCTGGCAGGAAAATAACGGTACTCCATGCAGTCATGCCAGCCACATGACCTTGGAGGCGTCTATGGACAACGCCAGCTCTTCATCTTAGAAGTGGAGATGAGCACCAACCCCCTGATTTGGAAATGACTAGACTTACTGTCAGGGGAAAACCTTTACCTTTACCTTTCCTACCTCCATCACACACTAGCAAACTATACTGGAGGGATTTGGGGGAGGCATGTACAATACATTAGATTTGCATTACCTTCAATCGCTTCAGTTCCTGAAGAGGCCTCTTTGCTGCCCTGAGAGTGGTGCAGGCACAGCTGCCTGGAGAGGCACTTGCCAACGCTGTACCTCTTCTCACAGGAGAAGAACCCCTGGGTGTATGCTCACCGGCGTTGGCAAGCACACGGGGGAAGACGGCTGGGAGCCCCTCGCCCCTTCCAAGGCTGGCGGGGATGAGAGGTGAGCGGAGAAGCCCCCCTGGATGGCCTTGGCCATGCGGGGGGGCTTGCACTTGCCCCTTTTGAGGCCGGTGGGGACGAGAGGCTAGCAGAGAAGGCCCCTCGGATGGCCTTGGCCATGCGGGGGACCTTGCGCTTGCCCCTCGTCCCTTCTGAGCCCGGCGCGGGTGAGAGGAGAGTGGAGAAAGCCCCCGGATGGCCTTGGTCATGTGGGGGCCTTGCGCTCTCCCCTCGCCTCTTCCGAGCCGGGTGAGAGGCAAGCAGCGGGGAGCCTGCTCAATCCTCGCCCCTTCTGAGCTCGGCAGGGGGCAAGGGGCAAGTGGCATGCTTTCTCCCCCGCGCACTCCATTGCCTCCAAGCTCCTCCTTCTGACTCCCTGCAGCCCTGCGGGAAGGGGAGGAGGAGCCAACCAGAAGCGCCTGGCTGTTTGGCTCACATAGGAGCCGGCAGCCATTTTGGAGAGGGGGAGAGCCAACTGAGGCAGAGACCCCCTGGAAAATGGCCCAGCGACCCCCATGGGGGTCGCGATCCCCAGGTTGAGAACCACTGATCTAAAGCATCTTTCTCATTCACTATACATCTGCTGAATCCCCATTCTGCAAAATGACTGCAGCAGCATAAAAACTTCAGTGGACCCTGGAAGACCTCAACACTGACATAACCATTTTGCATCTAGCTATGGGGACATAGCCAAATATTACTCTAATCCTGCTAGTTACCCATAAGGCATGAAGAGGCCATGGTGGCTGAGACTTCAGAGTCTGAACTTTATGCTCTGAGCAGGGGCGGCTCAACCCATTACGCTAAGTAAGCATTCACAGTATGGTTGATTTTGCCCAGGGGTGCTCTTGAGCCACTCTTGGGGGAAAATAGACCTTGACATATGCGAGTTGTAGTTACTGGGATGTATAGTTCACCTAAAATCAAAGAGCATTCTCAACTCCACCAATGAATTGAACCAAATATGGCACACAGAACTCCCACGACGAATAGAAAATATATATCAATGATTGGTTGGGGGGGGGGGCGGCGCCAAAATACTCTTTGCTTACCATTGAAAATTACCTAGGGCCGCCTCTGGCTCCGAGGGATAGCAAATAGTTCAGCTTAATCTAGGTCTACAAGCAGGATTGCTACTATTCAGAATTACTTCAGCGAGACAGTGTAATAATAATAATAATAATCATCATCATCATCATCTTTATTTATACCCCGCTACCATCTCCCGAGGGACTTGGTGCGGCTTACATGAGGCCGAGCCCACAATACATCAATGATAAAGCAATAACAACAATTAATACAGGCAATAAAATAAAACTCATAACAAAAAATAAACAATAAACAATAGCAATTGTGGAACTGCACTCTTAGACCCTGATTCAAAACAAAACTCTTCCATCCAGTTGCATGAAATCCACATTGAACTGGATTATATGGCAGTGTGGACTCAGATTATCCGGTTCAAAACAGATATTGTGGATTATCTGCCTTGATATTCTGGGTTATATGGTGTGTGGAAGGACCATTAGTGAATCATAGGTTGAATTACTATTATATGTGACAAATATTTAATAATTTGCTTAACTATGAGTAAGGTGTCGTCAGAAAGGTAAAGGTAAAGGTTTTCCCCTAACATTAAGTCCAGTCCTGTCCAACTTTGGGAGTTGGCGCTCATCTCCATTTCTAAGCCAAAGAACCAGCGTTGTCCAAAGACACTTCCAAGGAGTGCTGTTACCTTCCCACCTGAGTGGTACCTATTGATATACTCTCATGTGCATGTTTTCAAACTGCTAGGTTAGCAGAAGCTGGGGCTAACAGCAGGACCTCACGCCGCTCCCCAGATTCGAGCCTGTGACCTTTCGGTCAGCAAGTTCAGCAGCTCAGCACTTTAACCCACTGTGCCACTGCGGAAACAGCAATGAAATTATTTCTAAATGAAAAATAATTCCAAGAAAAACAAAAAAGAGGGAGGAAAGGAGGGATGGGTGGAATAATATCTATATACGATATACTTTTTTTTCTCTTACAAATGCTTTTTAACACATTTTTATTTGGGAATTACAATGTTTAGACATAAATTAAATGTAAAAAATAGAATATATAAAAGTACAGTCCAAAGCGAATCTTTTCTTATCTACATAGAAGTACCTTCTGTTGCGTTCAATAGCACCGCTATTCAGGAGAATTGTGTTTGAATAGACATGCAGTGAAGATTTGTATTGTAAGTTGCTAATTGGACTTTCATTACGTTGTTAAATCTGTGTAGTGTGACAAAGGTTAATTCAAAAGCAAAAAAAGCATATTGCCCCCTTGTTTTCATATGACATAATTTTACACACTCTGTCAGGGAGGAAACTGAGAAAATTCTCCTTCAATTTTTTTTCTTGTGTTGTCGAAGGTTTCCATGGCCAGAAGCACTGGGTTGTTGTGAGTTTTCCGGGCTGTATACATTCTCTCCTGATGTTTTTCCCAGGCAGGAAGCAGCCAGGCTTTGAAGCTGCAAGCCATTCAATGCTAATCAAGTGGCCAACTGCAACATTCACACCTGCCTCCAACAGACAAGAGTTCTTTCTCCCACCCTTGGCATTCCACAGATATATAAACCTCACTTGCCTAGTTTCCAACAGACTTCACAACCTTTGAGGATGCCTGCCATAGATGTGGGTGAAAGGTCAGGAGAGAATGCTTCTGGAGCATGGATTTATTTATTTATTTACTGACTTACTTACTTACTTACTGCTTTTCTCACCCCTTCAGGGACTCAAAGTGGTTTCCAGCGTATTCATGGCGAAATTTAATGACTTGCAAAACATGAAAACCTAACATAAAACAACATACAGCCCGAAAAACTCACAGCAACCCAACTTTTTTCTTCTTTAAAATCTGCTGTGCAGTTTCCTGTGCACAATTCTTTATTCACTTCAAGTATTTTAATTAATATATCTAATTGATTGTCTCGGCCCTAGAAATAAATTATTTTAAGGTTCTGCAACTAAGCAGCTAACTAACAATGGGGAAAATCAAAAGTTAGTCATGCCAAGCATTCAAATGTATAGTTTGTTCCAAAGTAATGAGCCTACTCAATCAAAGAAGTCCATTACCTGGAGAGGATTGCAGTGCCCGTTGTTATTCTCCTGCCTGAATTGAGGCAATGTGTTTGTGCCAAAAAAATTGACGTAAAGGGGAGGGGGAGGTGTATTACACAGGAAGAAAAACACATTCTCATTCCATGTCAGCCATTCATGACAATGTTTATCCATCTGTGATATTTACTTTTGATGAAACTTCACACTGTAAACATTACTTTTGCCTTTGGAAGAACATTTCCAATTGGTTGAAAATAACAGAGCTCCACTGATACAGAGATATTTTTTTCTTTTCTTTTAAAAAAGAACTTGATTTTAAACTAGATAAGGCCCTCTTGTGTTTATCAGGGGAACTACATAACATGAAGAAGGGAAATCTCAGCCTGTACAACAGTCATGGACAAACAAATGTTAGTCAACATCAGATGGTGTTCGACCTCAGCCTCAACTAGTGTGGTCAATGACGCAGAAAAATGGATGTTGTGGTCTACCAACATCTGGAAAGTCTTAGGTCTTGCCTAGTGCATGAGAGCAATATATGATATGTCCCTAACTTTCCCATCTAAGTCCAAACTTAGGGCCCTTGGACAGCCTCATAATGTGGGACAAAATAATATTTATTTATTTATAACCTTTCCTATCTCCCTGAGGGGACTGAGGGCGGTTTCCAATAAAAGTAACAAAGTGGCAAACATTCAATGCCAAAAACAAACAAACAATGCATCAAAACAGTGGATAGAACAATCTCGATATAAAATTATAAAACTAACCAAAAGACAACTAAAATTGAACTTAAATAAACATAACAAGAATTTATTTGTTTGTTTGTTTATTTACTATGTTTATATACTGCCCTTCCCACCCCAAAGGGGACTCAAAGCGACTTACAAGTTATAATTGTTTCAGATTTGTGCACTATTTTCTTTGGACTTCATTCTGGTCTTTATGTAATACAATTAAGACACAATAGGTGTTGCTATGGCCAAGCAGCTAGGCCGTTGATATACTCTCGCTGTAAGGCTGTGGGGCCATGGAGGCACCTTGCCCAGGAGTTGTAAGGCAGCACGGCCAAAGAGATGCTGCTATGGCTTTGCACAGGTGTTGCTATGGCCAGCAGCGGGCAGTTAGGCCGTTGAAGTACTCTCACTGAGAGTCTGTGTGGCCATGGAGGTGGCGTGCCCAGGAGTTGTAAGGCAGCAGGGCCAAAGAGGTGTTGCTATGGCCCAAGCAGTTGTTGTTATGGCCAGCAGCGGGCAGTTAGGCCGTTGAAGTACTTTCACTGAGAGCCTGTGTGGCCATGGAGGTGGCCTGCCCAGGAGTTGTAAGGCAGCAGGGCCAAAGAGGTGTTGCTATGGCCCCAAGCAGTTGTTGTTATGGCCAGTAGCGGGCAGTTAGGCTGTTGAAGTACCCTCACTTAGAGGCTGTGGGGCCATGTAGGCACTCTGCCCAGGAGTTGTAAGGCGGCAGGGCGGAAGAGGTGTTGCTTCCCCGGAGTGGAAATAATCTATCGGACAGATGGCAAGCTGTTTAACCTCAGCAGACTGAAAGCCAAAACCAAGGTTACAACAACATCTGTTATAGAAATCCAGTATGCTGATGACAATGTTGTCTGTGTTCATTCAGAAGAAGATCTAAACACCTTCGCAGAAGCATACAAGAAGCTCGGCCTGTCACTGAACATCGAGAAAACCAAAGTGCTCTTCCAGCGGTCCCCAGCCAATCCCTCTCCAATGCCAGAGATACAGCTTAATAGTGTAACATTAGAAAATGTTGACCTTTTCCACTACCTTGGCAGCCACCTCTCCACCAAAGTCAACATCGACACCAAAATACAACACCGCCTAAGCTCTGTGAGTGCAGCATTTTTCTGAATGAAGTAGAGAGTGTTTGAGGACCGGGACATCCGTAAGGATACCAAGGTGCTTGTCTATAAAGCGATTGTCCTCCCGACCCTGCTATACGCCTGCGAGATGTGGACTGTCTACAGACGTCACATGCAACTCCTGGAACGATTCCATCAACGCTGCCTCCGGAAAACCCTGCAAATCTCTTGGGAAGACAAGCAGACAAACGTCAGCGTGCTGGAAGAAGCAAAGACCACCAGCATTGAAGCGATGGTCCTCTGCCATCAACTCCGCTGGACCAGCCACGTTGTTGGGATGCCCGATCACCGTCTCCCAAAGCAGTTGGTCTACTCCGAACTCAAGAATGGAAAATTGAATGTTTGTGGACAGGAAAATAGATTTAAAGATGGGCTCAAAGCCAACCTTAAAATCTCTGACATAGACACTGAGAACTGGGAAGCCCTGACCCTTGAGCGCTCCAGTTGGAGAGGCACGAATGGAGGGTGAAAGAGAGAAACGTGCCAGGTTTAAGGCACATCAAGCCAACCCCGACCGAGACCGCCTTCCACCTGGAAACCAATGCGCTCACTGTGGGAGAAGATGCAGGTCAAGAATAGGGCTCCACAGCCACCTATGGATCCACAAGAATACAGATCATGGAAGACTAGCCTACTCGTCCAATGAGGGATCGCCTAAGTAAGTACGTTATGGCCCCAAGCAGTTGTTGTTATGGCCAGCAGCGGGCAGTTAGGCTGTAGAAGTACCCTCACTAAGAGGCTGTGGGACCATGGAGGTGGCCTGCCCAGGAATTGTGAGACAGCAGGGCCCAAGTGGTGTTGCTATGGCCCCATGCAGATGTTGCTATGGCCAGCAGCAGGCAGTTAGGCCATTGAAATACTCTCACTGAGAGCCTGTGGGGCCATGGAGGTGCCCTGCCCAGGAGTTCTGAGACAGCAGGGCCGAAGAGGTGTTTAAAAATCATAAAACCTTAAGGGTCCAGACACGGAGCTGTGTATCCCAGTATATGGTCCCCTGGCATCCTGACAGGTTCAGTTGTAGCAGATTTTAGAAATTTGCAATATGGACTGGGACATCTTCTGGAAGTTTACTTTTTTTATTGACACTCTGAGATGCACTGTACCTCATAAGCACTGATGCAGATATGCTAATGTGCACACAAGCAGAAAAATCTCTCCTCACCCTCCTGCTTTCTTTACGTTTGCCCTCTTCCCTTTAGGGTCACTTGCCTGCCATGCTGGTGCCCATTGTGTAAATTCAAACTGTTTGATTTCATACATATGAGAACAAAAAATGGTTTCAGAGTTTTCATTGGAATCGCTTTCCATTTGTGCTTCCATTTAGCCACCTATATATCCATGGCTCTATTTGTTTACAACCCTCATCGGCTGTTTCAGGATTTTAAAATGTGCACATGCACTGGAGCAGTTCATGCCTTCATATAGCGACAAAGTCCCATTTTTTCTTGAGTGCAAGGATATACAGTGATGCAAATATGTGCATTTTAAAGCCAAAATCAAATTTTAAGCACACCTTTTTAACAGCGTACATTTTCAGCAAACGTAATTTAGCTGCCACCCCACTTTTATCCCAGTTTCTTTTGCATTTTAGGGCCTATGTAGAAGGACCCTTAGTTCAAGTTTGGCCAATATTTATCTTATGTTCTTTCTAGGTATACTTCAAGCAGTTGTGTCCTCTGGCATGGTTTTGTATATTGACTGAAGAATGGCATCTGAGAGACTTTAGTACTGACACCATTTTGCGTTGAAGATTTAGCTTTCCTTTCAAGCCAGGATTTAAATATGGATGCTGTGAAAGATGCAACATAATAATAATAATAATAATAATAATAATAATAATAATAATAATACTTTATTTGTATTCCACCCTATCTCCCGGAGGGGACAAAGGTGGATTCCAGCATACACAACACAAAAGCAAACATTCAATGCCTAGAAACAATGAAACACAGATAAAGATAAAGTCTTCCCCTTCTGAATCTGGAGGGTGGTGCTCATCTCCTACTCTGGAGATGGTGCTCATCTCCATTTCTGAGCCAAAGAGTCTAGGTCATGTGACCGGCATGTCTGCATGGAGCGCCATTTACCTTCCCGCTGAGGCGTTACCTATTGCTCTACTCACATTTGCATGTTTGCGAACTTATGTTTGCGAACTGCTAGGATGGCAGAAGCTGAGGTTAACATTTGGAACTCACTCCATCTCGTGGATTCAAATGCCAACCTTCCAGTCAGCAAGTTCAGTAGCTCAGGGGTTTAACTTGTTGCACCACCACAGCCCCTACCAAACATACAAAGAAGCTGTTCTTAATGGTGTGGCCTAATATGAACTATTACCAGGAAGCATTGTATCAAAGTGGTGACTTGAGGAGCAAATTATTTGACATCCTCAAACTGACTGCTGTTTGCATCTCTGTAACTAACACCTGAGTAATATTAGAAACCAAAGCAAACTGGTTTGGACTAAATCAAATGGCAGCTGGACCATAATCTTCACGGAGCTGACACGATCTGGTATGTCAAACTTAGGGATAAGCAATGTGAAATCCCTGGAGTGATGTGTGACTCCCTAAGGTTGTGTTGGTGATCTTCAACTCCTCCAAATTCTCCAGACTTCTTTTTTCGCAACCATCTAAATGGAAATGGCCTTTCTTGAAAGCCCCCAAGGCAACAGGGGAGGTGGCAGAGGCCTCCAGAATTGTTTCAAGATTTTTTAAAAGTAGTTTTAGTTGTATTGTTTTTGTTTTTATTGTCATTTTCAAATTTGCCTTTGTAAGTCCCAGTGGGTCACAGGTAAAGTTGGACCCTAAATCATGCTATTGCATACTACTACAGTGCATAATTATAATACTGTGATTCCACTTTGGTGCCATGTCAACATCCTGTGGAAAAGTGGAATTTGCAGTTTTGAGAAGGTTATTTAGAATCTTTGAGCTCTCTAGCGCCTTTCCAAACTAAAAAAAAGCCACTAGAATTCCATAGGATGAAATTAAGTGATGCAAATGGGTCCATAGACGTATCTCTTGAAACAGCCCATGGGGCAACTTTCCTTTTGACTTTTGCTCTTAGTATAAAGGACAGAAGAAGGATCTTAACCAAATGGAGACCTATCTAAGCTGTCTTCCCCTGCTCTTTTCCTACCAAACATAACTTGTCATCATTCATCTTCCTCTTCTCTTGTCCTCAAAAGACCACGTTAGCCAGGAAAATGTCTTTAATCTTATTTAGCTCTAAAGGTCTGTGATTCCCTAAAGCAGTCCCACACATTTAATTGAAAAAGGATATGTACAAATACAACACATTATTAATGTATCTCTCAGGGAAGGGAACTTTCCAACTTGCTTAAAAGAAGCAGTAGTTAGACCACTGCTGAAAAAGCCCTCCCTGGATCCCCTGGATCTTAATAATTACAGACCAGTATCTATGCTTCCTTTTTTGGACAAGTGATTGAGAAGATCTCTCCAACTCTAGGCAATCTTGGATAACACACACTTCTTTCACTCATTTCAAACTGGCTTCAGAGCAGAAAATGGAATTGCGATTGCTATGGTTGTCTTACTGGATGATCTCCAACTTAACACTGACAGGGAGAGAATGTCTGTGTTGTTTCCAGAAGGATACCATGGTACTAGATAGACCATGATTGTTGTTGTTCATTCGTTCAGTCGTCTCTGACTCTCTGTGACCTCATGGACCAGCCCACGCCAGAGCTCCCTGTCGGCCGTCACCACCCCCAGCTCCCTCAGGGTCAGTCCAGTCACTTCAAGGATGCCATCCATCCATCTTGCCCTTGGTCGGCCCCTCTTCCTTTTGCCTTCCACTTTCCCCAGCATAATTGTCTTCTCTAGGCTTTGCTGTCTCCTCATGATGTGGCCAAAGTACTTCAACTTTGTCTCTATTATCCTTCCCTCCAATGAGCAGTCGTGTTGTAATTTTAGAGTTTTTTAATACTGGTAGCCAGAGTTTGTTCATTTTCATGGTCTCTTCCTTTCTGTTGAGAGACCATGAAAATGAACAAAATCTGGCTACCAGTATTAAAAAACTCTAAAATTACAACAGCAAAACAGCAGAGAGGAAACAACCAGGCACAGCTTAACACCTCTCAACAAAAGATTTTCCCAGGCTCAGCCAGGCCTTCAAATGCTAATGAAGGTGGTCAGTTGAAACATTCACACCTAGCTCCAGCAGAGAAGAGCTCTTTGCCCCACCCCAGCCATTCCACAGATATATAAACCCATTGTCCTAATTCCAACAGACCTCACTACCTCTGAGGATGCTTGCCATAGATGCAGGCGAAACGTCAGGAGAAATGCCTCTAGAACATGGCCCTATAGCCCGAAAAAACCCACAAGAACCACAACTGAAGGTTTATCTTTCTGGCACACCTACCCAGACCATTTCGAACTATGAATCTTAAGTTTGCATTTTATTGGTGTTGGTGTCAGTCTTTGTTGTGTGCACTTTGGTATATGTTTTAGCCATGCTGTACCCCATCACAAGCCATGAGGAGAGGCGGGTTACATTATATTGTTGTTGTTGTTGTTGTATGGGCAGAATTATATTTGCATTTCAGTACAACACTTGAAGAACTGCCTGTTTCGATGTCAACTCTGCAACACACGAAGTCCATGGTTCTCTATGCATGTCTTGGTAACTGGGCAGAGAAACTTCATGGTCGTGACTATTCAAACTTTGGAACAATACTCCCACATGGACGTACCTGGCACTACTTTAATTTTGGTTATTGTTTTGCACCTTCAAGTCATTTCTGATCTATGGACACTTTAATGGCAATTATATCAAGGGATCTCTTGGCAAAATTTGCCTTTACGATCCTTTGGGGCTGACAGAGTGTGATTTACCCACAGTCAACCAGTGAGTTTTTATAGTTGAGCAGGGATTCCAACCCTGGCTTCCAGATTCATAGTTCAATCTAAAGACCACATTTGCTCCCTGGCTATGGAACTCCCTTCCTAGTGAGATCAGGTCGACCCCCTCCCTCTTGTCCTTTAGAAGGATGGTAAAAACTTGGTTGTGGGACCAAGCTTTCGGGACAGGGCAATAAAACGGCAATAGGAAATATGACCAGGCCAATTAGATTTGACACGGATGACTAGGACGGTTTTAAACCATGTATTTTAATATTTTGATAAATGTTTTAAATGTTTTTGCATGTGTATGTGAATTTGTGTCCCGGCATTGAATGTTTGCTGTGGATATGCTGTGCTCCACCCTGAGTCCCCTTCGGGGTGAGAAGGGCGGAATATAAATGTTTTAAATAAATAAAAATAAATGTGTAGGTTTGATTTTTTGTGAATGTAATTATTTGCAGATTTGATTAAAATTACTCTCTAGGAATATCTAGGTCCTTGTGTGCAACTCTATGATAAACTTCTCCTGGAGAATGACCATAGAGTCATGCTGGAGGACCTAGAGATTCATACTGATGGTATCTGTCTATGAAATCCAGTATGGCACTAGATCCATTTTCATTTCTTTGTGGTTTTTCCACTTTTATGGGGACCCTCGCCCCTACTGTTGTGGAGGGCAGGCTACACAGAATTAGTTATGTCACAGACGTGCTGAGAAGCTCTGTTAGTGAATTGCAACCATGAATTATGATACACCAGCAAGAAGATTCCAATGCAAATCAGCACGCCCTGGTCTAACGCACGATGGGACAGATAAGACACTGGAACTGTTGTGAGCCAGTCCCGTTATGCAACAATCACAACGAATATTGGTCCAAAATTAAAGGGCAGCCCAATTCCAATTTCTACAGAAGTCTACTTATATATCCCAAAGATGATTCCAACCTATTTTATTCTCATTTTGGCTTTTACGACCCAATCTGACTAGTTTTTGATGGACCACATGATATAACTCTGTAGGAATAAATAAAGTTCCTTTTGTAAGATTCAAAAAGGGACTGATGACAAGAGGTACAGCTTCCATAAACACACTTGTTTACTCCCACTATCCTTTTAGTTCTCACGTGAGTCCAGGCAGAATACATTCAAAAAATGCCCAGTGAGTTAAAATATAAACAAGGCTGCTGTATATATTTGGCAATATACTATACCTTTCCACTCATCAAATTCACTAGGGATCCGTCAAGATACAGTCAATTTCATCTTTATGTCACTTTCATTTGCTGGGTCCCTGGTGAAATTGTACGAAGAATTGGGATAATTCGTCTTAGAAAACAGAATTGTATCTATGGCGTAAACTGTGGAGGATCCTTTATTAAAACTTCAAGGATGAAAGGGGAAATATAAATTTTATACATTGCTTCAAAGCCTGGGGTCGTTATGAATTATTGGATAATTTCACATATACTTCCAAGTTCCTTTAAATAATATTTATGCATAGCTAGCCTGTATTTTAAAACATTCTGCTTCAATTTATACATTCATTTAAAAAACTGGTCCCTCTCCACCCCCATCAAACCATTTGTTTATTTCCTTCAGAAAAATCAACAAGTTGATTCAGTTTCAGAGCACAAGGGACTACCCCATGTCCAATGCTGTATGACAATTCAGATGAAAAATGCTGTAGTCGAGAATCTTCTCAAGGTGTATTTCAAGACTTAGAAGATGATCTTCTTTTCAACTGAATCCAGATGCCTCTATTTGGACGAAGAATCAATTCTCCTACAGGATAAAGTTCATCACGCTTCTGCTTAGTTTCAACCTGAAAGTGCCGTAGGATGGTGGCTAGAATTGTTTTTTCTTCTAACTGTGCAAAGCGCTGACCTGCAAAGGAGATGGAAAGTAACAATACTTATAGTGGACCATAGAAAAAATTAACAGGTGTATCCATTAGGCTTGTGTGCTTGATGCAGAAATACCCTTGCTTTGGATCTAGTTAGGATGTTGACCATTTTTGAAGCGAGTCCTGCTTGCTGCCCTTCCAATATTAAAGGAGCCTTCGATTCTTAAGCCTCGGATGTTCAGATGTAGCTGTGATGGAGAGCTAAAATTCACAGGGCAACCAAGCCCTGCTGAGAGGCAAAGCCAAATGTATTGGCATGCCTCTCCAGCCAATCAGGGCTGACAGAGGAGGGAGGGGAGGCAGAGGCGGAGATCGTAAAAAAGGTTTTTTAAAAATTCGAAATTTCCCAAAAATTCCATGGATGAGTGAAACATTATGAAACTTGATAGACAAAGAGTAGAAAATGTGTTCTACCATTGCAGCAAGTTTCACCTCAATAGCTTTAAAAGTGAAAGAGATAGGAGCTTCATTTATACTGATTTTATTTAAGCCATATGCCTGCGCTAAATTACATTTCCCAGAATGCATTGGGCAGCAAGCTATGGCGTTTAGTCAGGCTATAATAAATAAAATCATGGAATCTGCAAAGAAGGCGAATGCAAATAAGTCTTATAGTATAAATCTGTGCTAAATTGCATATTAATTGGAAGTATATTAATTGGACGTCAGGAGAATTTGGATTGTGCCTTTCTGCCTGGAAGAAGGGGGTCAGTCTAAATCAGACATGGACGGTAGGCTGTTAGCAATTGTGGGAGTTGAAGTCTAAAACACCTGGAGGGCTGAAGTTTGCCCATGACTGGTCTAAATGTCCCTTGATGGTGCAATGTGCTATTATTTCGGTCCCTGAGTTATACATTTCCTAATTGGTTCTGTCAAAAAAAAAAATGGCAAAAGTTTGTTACACTGAGAAAAACTTTGTCTTACTCAAGGGACATCATTATTTTGCTTTGTTGAGTCTCCACCAATTTAACACAATTTCTGCCACACAAGCAAAGTTTCCGGAGTAGAACAACTACTTTCAAAGTAAAGACCACTCAATGAAACAGGAAATAATATTTTCAAACCAGGAACAAGTTTTCTTTATTATTAAAAAATATTTTTATAAAGACTGAAAAATTGCCAAAAATCTGTGGATAAGTCAAACGATCTGAAATTTGGTGAGCTAACAATGGTAAAAGTGTTCTACCACTGTAGCATGTTTCATCAGGATAGATTAAAAATGGGGGAGAGAGAAGTCCCTCAAGTTTCCCCACTGACAGTAATGTTTTTCTTAATTTTTTTTGTCATGTCAGGAGCGACTTGAGAAACTGCAAGTTGCTTCTGGTGTGAGAGAATTGGCCATCTGCAAGGATGTTGCCCAGGGGATTCCTGGATGTTTTGATGTTTTACCATCCTTATGGGAGGCTTCCCTCATGTCCCTGTACGAGGAACTGGAGCTGGTAGAGGGAGCTCATCCACGCTCTCCCTGGATTCGAACCTGCAACCTGTCTGTCTTCACTCCTGCCAACACAGGGGTTTAACCCACTGCGCTACCGGGGGCTCCTGTTTTCCTTAATGCGCATGCATAACCACCATTAACCAGGTACTTACAAAGATTTAGAAGTTTTGTAAAGTTTCAAAAAAATTTCCAAAATTCAGAAAGGACTTTAGAAATGAAGCACCAGCATCCCCTACTTTTGAACACAGTTTAAAACTTTATTTTTTTTATCTCACATGCCTGGTTTCCATACTGACCAGTTTTGGCTAATTCTTCCCCCTTTAACTCTTATGCAACCTCAGGATTTTGTAGTTTGGGGAGGTGCTTAGAATTCTCTGCTGAACTCTAGTACTTTTGGCAGAGAATGTGGAAGGTCTTGGAAGGTCAAACAAAACAACACAATTGATTGTGCCTTGAATTACTGAGAGGATATTGATCTTTCAACTCTTATACATACCAATACAGTTCCTGGGACCAGCAGAGAAAGGCACATAGGCATATGGGTTCCTCCCGTTTGAATTTTCTGGGAAGAATCTCTCAGGTCTGAACTCCTCTGGCTCTGGGAAGACATCGGGGTCTCTATGCAATGCATAAGGCACGATTATGCAGTCAGTTCCTTGAGGTATCTTGAATCCCTCTGCCAAAAAGAAAGAAAGAAATCGCTTTAAAATAACTTCCCCAAAACACTAACTGCATTAGCACGAGGCTCATATACCTGCAGCATAGTAATACATCAAGGTACTGGAACTACTTACTTATATGGACTTCCTCGGTGAAAGTACGGGCAAATAATGGAACAGAAGGGAAAAGGCGAAGGCTTTCTTTAACAACACTTTCCAGATATCGCAGTTGTTTCAAATCATCCATTGTGATGGGACGGTCAGAGTTGCCTGATAAGGAAACAGTAATTAGTGAGATTTATTTATTTATCACGTCAGAAGCAAATTGAGAACACAGTTATAATGTATTTTTTAAAAAACGATCAAAGTTAAAAACTTTGCATTATGCTACATTTTCTTGAGCAAAAGATAGTGGAGGAAGGAAAGGGAGGATTACTCCCTCTTTTCACCCCTCCCTCCTCCCATCGCCTCATTCCTCCAACTAAAGTCACTCTGAGTGCCAACTGATAACCAGCACCATTTGTGCCCAGTGGGCACCACAAAGCCCAGAATGATGGAGTCAAGGTAGATTACTTATTTATCATGTCAGTTGCAAATTGAAGGTACAGTTGTAAGGTATTTAATAAATACGAACAAAGTTAAAAACTTGCCATTGTGCTAAATTTCCTTTAACCAGAAACTGGCCACTTTGAATGTCTCTAGTGTTGCTGTGAAAAGGTCCTTGTGCATATGGCAGGGCTCAGGTTGCATTGTAGAAAGTCGTCTGTCATTTGCTCTTCTCCACACTCGCATGTCACAGACTCCACTGTGTAGCCCCATTTCTTAAGATTGGCTCTGCATCTCGTGGTACCAGAGTGCAGTCTGTTCAACGCCTTCCAAGTCACCCAGCCTTCTGTGTGCCAGGGAGAGAGTTTCTCATTCAGTCTCAGCCACTGGTTGAGGTTCCGGATTTTAGCCTGCCACTTTTGGACTCTTGATTACGGAGGTGTTCCTGCAAATATCTCTGATCTTAGGAAGCTGTTTCTTGATTTAAGTCATTGGCGTGCTGGCCGATATCCGAACAGGGGGTGGACCGGGTATGTCAATGCCTTGGTCCTTTCATTCCTGGCTATGACTTCCCAGTGGATATCAGGTGGTGTGATACCAGCTAAACAGTATAATTTCTCCAGTGGTGTAGGGTGTAGACATCCTGTAATAATGTGGCATGTCTCATTAAGAGCCACATCCACTGTTTTAATGTGCTGAGATGTAGACTTACTGGGCATGCGTATTCAGCAGCAGAGTAGCACAGCTCAAGGGCAGATGTCTTCACTGTGTCTGGTCGTGATCCTCAGGTTGGAGGATCCCAAGGGGGACATGAGAGATTCCTTCCCACAGGATAGTGGGATGGCGTCCCCTGGGCAATGTCTTTATAGACGGCTGATTCTCTCACACCAGAAGTGACTTGCAGCATACAACCAAACAACCAAACAAAAAGGAGTGCCTGAATAACATCAATGAACACTTACAAGGTAGTAGATGTGTGCAAACCATATTGTTTACGCTATAACACATCCAGAGGGAAATACAGAGAAACCTACCAAAAACTTCATCCAATTCTTTGTGAACCTTTGTTTGGACTTCTGGGTAACTTGCAAGCAAGTAAATAACCCAGTTCATGGCGGCAGCTGTAGTATCATGACCCTAGGAGAAGAGATGCAGAAAAATCAGGAATCTCAACAGTAATAGTGACTGATCATTCCAAAGTCGAATTCTTTGGCACCAGCACAATTTTTGTTAGACTTAGTACACAATACTCAGGGACCACTCAAATCTTTCCAAATACTAATTAATCAAGTACAAATCAGGAAATTTTCTTGGTTAATAAGGAGCATGGGAACATTTATTTTTTATTGACATTTAAATATTAAAATGAAGCAATAATCTATAATGTACACACACATACATATATATAATTATTAAAGTCTGCTAAGCTCCACTACTTCCTGTTAGGACATGCTGTTCGTAATCATGTGACCAATTCGAAAGCCAGCACTTCCTTTTTCAGATTTCTAATCTGTAACTTGATTTTAAGGACACTTTAGTCTGGATTTTATTATTTCACCAACTATGTCAGTAACTCCAATAACCACCAGAGGGCAAAAGAACACACTGTTGGGTATTTAGTAAATATTTACTCTTTCAAAAATAAGGCTTATGCATGGCAACCACTGTAACCATAAACTTATATTGTCATGTAAGTTTATCTAGCACTACAGGCATAAAATAGCAAAAAGAATTTCCAGTGAAAACAATATAAATAAAAAAAAACACATTATGATAATGTTTAACATTCCCATAAGCAGTTGAAAAACTATCCCAGAGTCCAGTTTTGAAGAAATTAAAACAGCAATTTCAAACATTCAATGCCATGTCTGAGAGTACTCTTTTGCCTACACATTGGAAACTTAAAACAGTTGAGAACAACCTAACTTCTTTGGAGATGGAGTTCAGGTTTATGGTACTGTGTTTTGTTGATTTTTTAAATTTTAATTTCCTTTTTAAATATTTTTAAATAAACTTTATAATGGAGTTATAATACACGAAAATCTATTTCTTGTGCTGAAAACTTTCACTGACTAAATGTAATGACCTGTTTTACTAGATTGGTATGGACAACAGGAACAGAGACAAGGGAAACTGACATGGAGAGTTTGCAAGGAAGTTGAGAAAAGCAGGAAATGGGGGTGGCAGGGCTGAGCAAAAAACTTGCAGAGGAAACAGCAGAAAGAGAGAGAGAGAGAGAGAGAGGACAATTATGCTTGCTGAGAACTAGAGAAGACAAGAGAGTCAACTAGAGAGAGAAAAAGACGGAAGTAGAACTATAGTTCTTAGTTGCCATGATGGCTAGGAGATTCTAGAACAAAAAGTTCAAAAAGCATATCAATTTATTATTGTCCTTTAAATAATTGTTTCTAGTCAGCATTATCATTCTGATGCAATTTGAGTATCCCTTATCAAAAATGCTTGGGACCAGAACTGTTTTGGATTTTGGACCAGAACTGTTTTGGATTTTGGAATGCCTGGATTTGCAGATATATACATAATGAGACATCTTAGGGATATGACTCAAGTCTAAATATGACATTCATTTATCTTCCATATATACATTAAGGTAATTTTATATATTTACACTAATTTTGTTAATGAAACAAAGTCTGTGTATATTTAGCCACTAGGAAACCATGTATCATGTGGACAATTTCAGATTCTGGAGCATTTCAGATTTTGAAATGTGCAACCTATACTGCAAATGATGAGCATAGGAAAGCAACTGGTGGTCTTGCAGATAGAAGAGATGCCACTGAAAGGAGGTTTTTCCTACTTCAAGTCGGGTAGGTGGTTCCACAACATTGTTTCAGCACCTCAACCCAACCAATGGAACCAAGTAATGTAGAGTTAAGAGTGTGGGGACTTTTTGATTGGCAAGCCTGCTGATATCATGTGCCTCCTTGACTCAGGAGTCTCTGTCCCCACTGAGCTCAGATGCAATCCCCAACTGGCAGGAGTAGATTTTCCCAGAAAAGATATATTATTAAGAGCTACACCTATTTTCATCCACACTATTTTGGAGTGGCTTGATATAAAAGGAGCAATTGGGACACTTTAACCTACTGCTTGTGGCTAGATGAAAACTTCTAAAGCTGGTTTATTGATACAGAACAAGACAATGCCTATTTCTCTGGACTCTCTTTGGAGGCATGGCACTGTGGACTCTCATGATCAGCCCAAGCTTCAAAATTTACCAGCACACTTCAGTGTCCTACAATGTTCCTAATGACCCTACATTGTGGTGTCCTTCACCATATTTGAAGATGGTACATTCTTTCTCTACTGTACCTGAAGACAGCAGCTCATTTTAGGGGACACACAGATTACATTTAATACCTTGTTTTCTCTTTCTTCCTTTAAGGTCCAATTCCTATGGTGACTGCTTCACCCTATTCAACAGTAGAACCGTTCCAAGAATTTTGCTAAGCTCTATGTGCTGTGTATGCCTTACCTCAAACATGAAGGTATCCACTTCCTCTCGAATGTCCAGGTAACTCATCTTCTCCCCATTTTCATCAGTGGTGGTCAAAAGCATATCAAGGAAAGCTCTCCTCACTTTGGTCTTGCTTTGCTCACCATTGATTACGACATCACTCTTATGCTCCTGGTTTTTCAGCTGTTGAGCTTTCTCGGCAATAACCTTTGACATTCAAAACAGAACAAAACACCATTCATATTTTTGATTACATCATGCAATGTTTACCTCATCAATGTTATATCGCTAGTGAACCCTAGACTGAGTGTTGTGCTGAAACAAACAAAAGAGCTAAACCACCAGCACTACTACCAAAGTTCTCAAACTTTGTTTTGGAACTTGACTCCTATAAATCCCAACAAGCATAACCAATGGTAAGTGATGGTGGGAGATAAAGTCCAAAACATCTGGAGGACTAAAGGTTTAGAACCACTCCACTGCTGAACACACTTCTGAATAACTATCAAAACCATGTCACAAGTAATTTAATTTTTTATTTACATACAGAATGTGAACATACTGGATGTCATATAGTATCAATCTAGCAAGGACTCTTCACAAAAAAGAACTGTCCACTGGACAATGAATTTAACATGATATGTCATCATGGAAGCAGCTATGCTGAGCTAGTGGAGAATTTTATCTCTTGCATGGAATGGCTGGAAATTCATTTTAGGAGGAAAATGGGGAAAAAATGGGAACAATTAATTGAAAGCCTGTTGACCTCTAAATCTTGCTGGATTTGCATTCCAATAAGCCTGTACCACTGGTTAAGTTGGCTAGGGCTAACTAAAGCTGTAGTCCAATAACATATGGAGGGCCACACATTTAACTCACTCGAAAATCCTTAGGCACAAAAGGGTGAAACAGGCAAGAGCCTTTTATAAACTAGTAAACCTTGAATTAGCACCAGATCTCCAGTTATAAAGAAAGGCACACTGGTAATCTCAAGGTTGGATTTCTGCAATACACTGTACATTGGACTACTTCTGCACCAAGTTCAAAAACTCCAATTAATGTTCAAAATATGGCAACCAGCACAGAAATGAGCATATCATACCTATACTAAAATAACTCCACAATTCATTTCTGGGCAAAGTACAAAGTGTTGATTATGACCTTTTGACACCCAACATGGGTTTAAATCTCGATTCAGACTTACTAAATATGAATGAAGGATCAAACAAGTCTTTACCAGCACAGCTTATCTTGCACAGGGAAACATATGTAAAAAGGGAAAACATACATAGGTCACTATGTGTGATGAAAGGGTAAACAGAAGATTCAAGACTGTGAATTTCAGTGCACTCAATTTAAAATTGACAAAATATATTTTATTGATTTTGTTCTATGCTGCCTTAGATCTCCAAATGCAAAGCAGGATGTATGTATGTTAATAAATAAATATATGTTCATACCAATGTTATGGAAATGGAAAATGCTACAGCTTACACTATCAGTAAAGGTGTGCAATATCTTCAGGCACCTGGAATGGTCTCTTCCTTCTTGAGACATAGAATAGATAAGATCAGGCCAAAGCCATGGTGATTTCTGTCTGTGATGAATGAGATCAGACATCCTAGGATAGCAAGCAATCAAGCTTTTAATCTTTTGATAGACATTATACAAAGAAGGCTGAATTGAATATCTTAAAAGAACTCTCTTCCAATCTCAAACAATCTGAAAGGTGACCAGAAATGCAGAAAACTGAATGGTCATCTGAAACTTGAACATGTTCACTCCAGCTTTGAATGCTTCCAATGATGGTTTATTAGACTTTTTTAACCACTCTGCTCCAAGTTTGCAGAGGGCAATAGGTACATTCGGGTCCAGGATAGTACTTGTATGCAGCTTGAAGAACGGCTATATGCAGGCCAAGGTCCAGTGGAGTTACCCAATGATACTGCCTCCATCAGAAGAACTATAAGAGAGATAATCCCTCTTCCTCCCATATGACCCCCATGTGGCCTGAAAACCTGCTTTGAAGAGGGCAAACCTCTGAAACTGGTTTTACAGACATATAAAAAACTACAGAATGAAATCCCTCTGCAGCAATTGCCTTCCAATGCAAAACTTCATGTGGAAGTCCACAGGTTTGGCTGGAACAATACTGAAATAACATGCTGGAAGGGCACTTAAGCCCTTTCCCTGCACTCTGGAGATAGCTTCTAATGTCAACTGGATTCTGGAAAACACATATAGTTTACATAATCTGCCAATGACGTCCTATGGAAGATGTCATGCAGGCTTACAAAACAGGCACGAAGTTCATTCTGAAGGCTGGGACCTTCAAATTACCCTTTAGCCAAATTTAGTACTGAGCAAGGCTTTTCTGTTTCACAGGATCATGTTACAGCTTACCTATATACAGCCCGGACATACTCTGAATCCTTATTGTTTTGTGCACCAATATTTTTGCCCATGGCCGTTTCTAGGAATAGAAAAGAGCAAACATTTGTTGAAAGAAGTGCTACAAATGGATAATGGCTACATCTGGAATATGGTGAGCTGCATTATATGGTGATAAAGCAATAAATGATCCGGCTCAGTGCTACGTACACCTGGGATAAACCGTCATAAAGAAGCCAAGGGTCAAACCACTGCATTTTCCATTAACCCTGAATCTTTCAAGGCTGCCATAGATCCTTATGATTTTCAACAAAGCCACAAGTGGCCTGAAGTCCACTTCTTACTTGTGAAAAGTGTCTGAGGGGTTGGTAATAATAATAATAATAATAATAATAATAATAATAATAATAATAATAAATATTTATTTGTATTCTGACCTATCTCCCCTGGAGGACTCAGGGCAAATTCCAACAAACAAACAAAAAAACAAGGAGGCAAACATTCAATGCTTCAAGACAAGTACAAACATGAATATCTTAACGACCCACCCAATCCTAAAGCAAACCGACATCGAACAACTAAATATAAGACCAGACCTAAAATTACATAAACAATTAAACAGTAAAATTATATCTAACCATAAAAACATGAACCTCAATTTACAAATCTCCCAGAGTTCATTGAAAGATTTAAAATTAACTATAATGGCAATAACGTCTACAGCACCGGCCGACCCGTCAGGTCCAGAGGGCAATGATAATATCCAGTCGGAGGTGTCTTTGCTGACTGTCATTCTCTAGTCCTCCTCCTCTCCATATGCTAGAGAGCATGTGTGTGTTTTATTGTTTTTAAAGGAGAGGAGGGAAGGGGCTGTTTTTATATCTTTAGAGGGGGTGTTGCAGAGGTGGGAGGGCAATCATTCGCACCAGCCGTACTTGGTATAAGATGTGGGGATCCCCGCGGTTTTTTTTATCCAGGAATCACGACAACTAATGGCTTCCAGGCACATATTTTTTTCCTTATTCTCCACCATAGTTATCAAAAGGGGATTCAGAAGACTCCAGAGGATTTCAGGATCCAAAGGAAAGGCCTCAATATTCATATTCATCATACCAATCTATACTAGCTGCCAGTGGTTCTCTTGAGCAGTGGTTCTCAACCTGGGAGTCGGGACCCCTGGGGGGTCACGAGGAGGTGTCAGAGGGGTTGCCAAAGACTATCAGAAAACAAAGTTGGTCATGGGGTTCTGTGTGGGAAGTTTGACCCAATTCTATTGTTGGTGAGGTTCAGAGTGTTCTTTGATTGTAGGTGAACTATAGATCCCAGCAACTACAACTCCCAAATGTCAAAGTCTATTTTCTCCAAACTCCACCAGTGTTCACATTTGGTCCAGATCTATCACTGTTTCGGTACACAGTGTTCTCTGGATGTAGGTTTACTACAACTCCAAAACTCAAGATCAATGCCCACCAAGACTTCCCAGTATTTTCTGCTGGCCATGCGAGTTCTGTGTGGCAAGACTAGTTCAATTCCATCGTAGGTGGAGTTCAGAATGGTCTTTGATTGTAGGTTAACTATAAATCCCAGCAACGAAAACTCCCAAATAACAAAATAAATCCCTCCCCAACCCCACCACTATTCAAATTTGGGTGTATCAGGTATTTGTGTCAAATTTCATCCAGCGAATGAAAATACATCCTGCATATCGGGTATTCACATTACAATTCATAACCGTACCAAAATTACAGTTATGAAGTAGCAATTAAAATAATTTTATGGTTGGGGGTCACCACAGCATGAGGAAATGTATCTGCTGTTATGGGGCTTTGTGACTAATACTGCAAATTGCTAAAATGATTAACCCTATATAGACTTTTTGATTATGCAGGACTTCTGATGACAGGGACAGTGACATACTGCCAATTCAACATGCCAACTATCCCACTTCAATAGTTGGAAGCGAAAGAGGAGTTATGCTATATTTAACTGTATAGGTCCTCTGGTCTTCCATTTCTCTCTCTACCACACTTCCCGCAAACATGCCCACTTTTCTTCTTCTTCAAATGTTAGAGGTGGAATGTGTAGGCTTAGATTATAGCAACAATTTTAGAACAGCCATTAAGCGAACGTAGAGACTTACCACAGATTATATCAAGGGCACACAGTGTAATGTATAAAAAGCAATCAAATGGCTCTTTGTCCACATGTATTTCAAGTTTCTGAACAAGAATACTAGCTTGTTCGTTCATCACATCAAGGAAATCTAATAAGATGGCAAAGTGGAAGGTTGGAGTCAACATTTTCCTTCTTGATCGCCATTTGTCTCCAGTGCTGTAAAACAAAGATTTTAAAATCTTCCCATGTATACATAACTAAATGCCAAACCAAATGCTTTAAACACAATAAATGTTGACAGACAAATCTGAGGCCTGCAGTAGCTCATTTTAGTCCCTTTGAAACTATGAATTGACATGGTTTCCAAATATAGCCTCTATGTCATGGAACCCAACACAAATCCTGAAATAGCAAGCAATGAGATTTTCCATTCCTAAGTCCTCCATCTAGCGAGATTTCTTTCTTGTTTCCTGCATCCACTACCAGACTAGGAAGCTATTTCAGGGTTCTAGGGTCCATTTGTGTTTCCAAATTGGGATGCATAGAAGGCACATTTTTAGAAGGTCTAACATTGCAAGAGTAGGAGTAAACAAGTTCCAGATTCCAATCTCCCAAACTTGAAAAATAATACATTGTTTAAATCTTGTTTTTAGAAGAATAGAATCGAAAATCGAGGTTCAATTGATATAATTTTCAAAGAAGAGCCGGGGGAGGGGATGAAATATTATTGTGGAGCATATTTACAAATATTTATATTATTGTTGCATTACATTAAATCCTGCCAAGTTATATTCTAAAGCAGGGGTCTTCAAACTTTATAACTGAGAGCTGATTCTTGGTCCTCAAAGTGTTGGGGGACCAGACTAGGGTTTTTAAAAAATGAACCAATTCCTATGCACACTACGAACACCTTATTTGTAGTGCAAAAAACATGAGCCTCCTTCGGGAGAGATAAAGCGGGGTATATAATATTAATAATAATAATAATAATAATAATAATAATAATAATAATAATAATGAAAGAACAATACAATATTTAAAATAAAGAACCATTTTAACCAGTATTTCAATGTGAAGTGTGGGCCTGCTTTTGGCTGATGAGATAGTCAAGTTAATTAGGACTGGGTTTTTTTCCCTGTGTCAGGAGCGACTTGAGAAACCGCACGTCGCTTCTGGTGTGAGAGAACTGGCCGTCTGCAAGGACGTTGCCCAGGGGACGTCCGGATGTTTTGATTTTTACCATCCTTATGGGAGGCTTCTCTCATGTCCCTGCATGGGGAGCTGGAGCTGACAGAGGGAGCTCATCTGCGCTTTCCCCAGATTCAAACCTGTGACCTGTCCGTCTTCAGTCCTGTGGACTGTTGTTGTGTGAATTCAAATTGTTTCAGACTTAGAGTGACCCTATGTCTAAAGTTTAGGACAAGGGTTGGGTAAATGACCTTAGAGGGCCACATCCGGCCTGCGCACCTTTGTTTGGGGACCACTGCTCTAAAGCTCTTCAACTTGTCAAGAGAATGCCCAGATCTCAGCTACACACATTTTTTAATGAAGCCAAATAATGTATCTTTTTTTAAGCATTCAGAAGTCTTTGCACTAATGTTCTGCCTCTTACCACCTTTGCTCCTCAAATACGTTTTCTTTAAAAACACAAAAAGGCAGGTCCTAAGTCGAAAACACAAATTGAACAAAACATCCACTAGGGGTGTGTGAAACGGCAAAAATCTGTTCTGATTTTGTTTGAAATTTCAGGTGCAACCTCCCCCCACCTCACCCCAGTTCTGTTTTTGAGAAGATTCTTTTCAAAACTGAAATGGAACTCCATATTCTGAATTAGCAGTTTGAAAACATACAAATGTGAGTAGATCAGTAGGTACTGCTCCGGTGGCAAGGTAACAGCACTCCACGCAGTCATGCCGCCCACATGACCTTGGAGGTGACTACGGACAACCCCAGCTATTTGGCTTAGAAATGGAGATGAACACCAACCCCCAGAGTCGGACACAGCCGGACTTAATGTCAGGGGAAAACCTTTACCTTTACCTATTCTGAATTATGAATCTGAATGGCCTCCTCCTAATCTCCCGGAATCTTTCTGAAAACAGAATGGGGAGGCACCAGAAATTCAAAATGAAAATAAAACAAATTTCTGCCATTACACATGCCCCTACTTTCTTCACATTTAGCAGAATATGTGATGATTGGGTTATGTTCTATGGCCACCACCCCAGTTTTCGCATTTGTTCATTCAATACATATATACTGGGAGACCTATGAATGAATATAATGGCTCAGTTAGCTCTGGATAGTCCAGTTTGAAAAGTCTTCCCATGGTCATGGACAAAGCGGATGCTCCCCAAACACATTCTATGCTTTGTTTTACCTTGTTAGAAGTCCTGTGCCCAGCCAAGGATGAAGAAACTTGTAGAGATAGGGTTTCTGAATATGCTTCGAGCTACTCAAGATAACCTGACAAAGGAGAGCGAAGCATTAATTTCTCTGCAAGAGGAAGAATGCGGTCTCAAAAGCCTACTTATCTACATAAACATAGCTTTCACTTTAAATGTCCCCAAACGATAAGTTTTTTTTAAAAAAAGTCAGCCACTTTCGATAACATCAGTTAAAATGTACAATTATGAAAATCAGATTGTGGTTAATGATAAACTATTTGCCTGAAATACGTATAGAAATCAAACATTTCCAAGGCTTGCTAAACAGGCTGATTTTCCTTTTTGTGGAATACAGCTGAAGCTTTTTCTGCAGAGTCCATTATAAACACTGCAGGTTGTCTTTGTAAATGGGTGGCATTTAAAAACCTTTTACTGTTGCCAATTTTTCCATGACCCCAACATTGAGCTAAGGGAACTCCATTTGAGGTTGGACCCATAGTTTAGGAATCACTGATCTAGAGAAATTATGTAGTCCTCCAGAGGTTTGGGGGCTGTAATTCATCAGATTTTTTATCAATTGCTATGTTGGCTAAGCCGTCAAAGGGTTACAATCAAAGAACAAGTGGAAAGCCGCATGATCCCCAACCCAGAATAGAATATTTAAAGCCCTGTTTATTAATATGAGGATACTTGTTCATCAACACTCTGGTCTTGCAAAACCAGCACATAAACTCAGAGCAAGATGATACTCTCTGATTCTTATCTCCATTAACTGATACCAAAATTTGATAGAAGCCTTTGCGAGTATAATCTCTCGGTACAATCTGAAACTTGCTTTCTTTTCGCCCCCAAGATACCAATATATCTTATAGAATAGATGCCTCAAGGTGAGAATTCATACATATAAAGCTCAAGCATATGTAGGCTCTGTACTTTAGACAGTACAAAAACCATTTAAACATTTGATAATTTAAAACTTAAAAAAAAGATTTTGCACATATGCCAAACAGATCTCAGATAAAGCTTTGAATATAGGCAATCATTAACATGAAATCTACCTTAAACATGAACCTTGTACCAATCAGAACTAAGTTCAAGGTTTTCTATGGTCCTAAAACTGGACAATATTTTTCTTTCTAATTCTTGCATAATGGAAATATTTTAATATTTAAAAAAGATCCAGCAACATTATTTATGTTTACTAAGTTTCAACTGCTCGCCTAAGATTTCCTTCAGATAAATAAAACCAGACGCTTTGAGTATCCTTGTGGAGAGAAAAAGTGGGTATAAATAAACATAGTAATAATCCCCTCCCCAAAAAAAGGATTGAGCCTTATAGTGATATGCTTGTAGCAACAGAATTATAATCCTAAACTAGAGAGTATACTCCATTAGACACAGTATAATTTATTGTTTCCAGGGCAAGGACTGTATTGTTAGTGCTGGACTAAAAGTCACACTTGCAAAGATATAATTTCACCTACTGGTCAACTGAATATGACTCAGAGTATTTTAGATAACTTTCCTCATCCCACAATTTCTGCCTGATCTAAACTCAGTAAAGTTCTTTGAAAAATGTATTAATGATATAATAACTTCCATATAATAGCCCTACAGAAATTGTGACATGGAAAAGCAAATGCAATCAATTAGCCCAGCGGTTCTCAACCCTTTGAGTTAATAAATAAGTGCTGGGGAACACAACGTGTTGATCAAAATGGGATAGATGGTGTAACTATAATCCTATGGTAAACGTGACATCCATCTATCTCATTTTGATCAAATGGGATAGATGGATGTCACTAGGCCTGGGTAACAACGGAAAAATTTGTTTCTAAAATCGATTCGTTTTTTGGGGTTTTTTGCGTTTCGTTATTTAAAATAATTACAAAATTTTCCTTTTTAAAAGTTTGATATTTACGAAATTTCGTAAATGTGAAAAAAATTACGAAACAATACGAAACAATTACGAATCGATTCGTTAATGGCGGACGCGACCGCGCAATACGCTAAAAAACCTCCAAATGGGACAGGGGGAACTTCTGAAGCTTCCCTCTCCCTCTGTTGTTGACTGTTGGTGTGATATTTATAATTTTTTTTCACTGATTAAACAAACAACAACTATAAAACTTGCCCCAGACATGCGGAAATAATAACGAAACGATTTCAAAACGATAACGAAATGAATACAAAACGAATCCGAAGCAATTACGAAATGAATTAAAAAATTTGTTTCGTTTTTTTAGTTGCTCCTGAATGGTTCGTTATCGCTCCGTTATCAAAAAAAATAACGAATTTTTAACGAATTACGAAATTACGAAACGAAACCGCCCAGCCCTAGATGTCACATTTACCGTAGGATTATAGTGACACCGGACTACTGTATAATCACTTTGTTGACTGTGACCCTGCTCTTCGGTCAAACTGTTCTCAGAACATCTCATTCCAGGATTTCCAAAAATACATCTGAGCAGAGGTTTTCAAAATGAACTTGTACAATTTATTGGTCTCCTACCGAAGTTCACAAAACTGTTTTTGAGATCCAGTTGTGAACAAAATTGCAACAGAACAATAAAACAAAACATGTTAGCCACCATTATAGAATCAGTACTCTCTTGAATATTCTCTTTAAAATAAACTTTGTACCAACAAATTAATTTAAAACCAAGGGCCAGAGGAACAAAATCTACACGCAAAACACTATAGACCCACAAAATAAATGTTAAACGCCTGGTGCATTAAAAAAGATATTTGCCTGTTGCTGAAATCTTCAAAACAATTACGAAACAATGATTCCCTACTAGCAAGGTTGCCCAGTGACAGATCTGATCCCTCACCATCAGATCTAGACAGCAATGGAAGTCCTAATTAGAGGCTGCAGCTAGCGTTATTATATTTTGTCAGGAGTGGCTGTAGTACACAGAATACATGCTTTGATTGCAGAAGACCTCAACCGCATATCTAGATAGGATTTAGGGCATCTGTGTCCATCAGCATTCAGAAACGGCATTCAGCATTCATTATATACACTGATGAGCCCCCGGTGTCGCAGTGGGTTAAACCCCTGAGCTGGCAGGACTGAAGACCGACAGGTCGCAGGTTCGAATCCAGGGAGAGGTGGATGAGCTCCCTCTACCTGCTCCAGCTCCTCATGCGGGGACATGAGAGAAGCCTCTCACAAGGATGATAAAACATCAAATCATCCAAGCGTCCCCGGCAACATCCTTGCAGATGGCCAATTCTCTCACACCAGAAGCAACTTGCAGTTTCTCAAGTCTCTCTTGACATGACTATATATATATATACACACACACACACACACACACACACATACACTGACACTGTATAGAAGAGCTTACTATGTACTTCATGCATGCCAATGCATGAGCAGCAGATAGTGCCTGAGTAGGTACTTCATACACAAGTGGACCAGGGAAACCCCATGTACCCCAAAACCTATTTATTTATTTATTTATGACATGCATATGCCGTCCTCACCCCGAAAGGGACTCAGAGCGGCTTATAAGGTATACATACAATATATATTATATTATTAACATAGTACAATATCAGTATTAAATATTACTATATTGTACTATACCATTATATTGTAATATTATTAGTAATATTACATGTAATATAAATATATAATTATAATATCATATTATTGTTAGTATTATATTGCATTACATTATAATAATTATAATTATAAATATTATAATTAACTCCCTGAAACATTCTTTTTTATTATTTATTTATTTATTTATATCTCACTTTTAGCCCATGGGTAGGATTCAAAGTGGCGTACAATGGTTAAATGACCAAACTACATCACATAAAAATATAACAAAAGCATCATATAGGCAAGTACTAAACAGGAACACATATTACATAAGCCAAATTTGAAAAAAAAAATTAAAACGTTATACCATTAAAACCATTTAAGAAATTCCCTGACCCTCAGGCCATCAAAGTTATCCATTAAAAGTCATTCTTGGGTCCTAAAAGCTCCATAATATTATGGTGGGGACAATGATAGTAGATTAACTCTTTACAAATACCTAGTATGACTCCAGAGAAGAGAGTGAGGGCTGAGGAGACAGACGGAAAGAGATCACACAAAATTATGATTGTTACATCTAATTCTTTATCTCTATTACCCTTACACACATTACTTAAAGTATTAAAATATTACAAATTCCATATATCCTCTATAACAAAAAGAGGAATATTATTGTCATCTAATTTAAAAACCTAATAGTCGTATCTTCTCATATTTTCTGTACCGTTCCATGTTCTTCGTGTCTTCTCCAACTCTTTATAAGATTGGGGGACTGACTAATTTGGGAATGCATGAGCTAGCAATATGCCATTAAAGCCAGAAGTATGATTATATAACATTTCCAAAAGGGAGGAGACTAGTCAGAACTTAAAAAAAAAACATCAGAAAGGGAGAGGTCTGTAGTTTGGTTAAATTGGTGGATTAATTTTTACATTTGTTCATTAGTCTTTGTACATTTTGTATATAGTTTTGGCTTTGTTAGCTATTGTATGAGTGTTTTATTTTAAGAAAAATTCTTGTTTTGTACATTTGATATTGTTCCACTGCATATGTCTTTCTTTGTATGACATATGTTTGCCTCACTGAATAATCTATCTATCTATCTATCTATCTATCTATCTATCTATCTATCTATCTATCTATCTATCTATCTATCTGGGCTGTCCAACCACGGAAAAATTTGTTTCTAAACTCGATTCGTTTTTAGGGGGTTTTTGCGTTTCATTATTTAAAAGAATTTCGAAATTTTTCTTTTAAAAAGTTCGATATTTACGAACAATTTCGAAACAATAACGAATCGATTCGTTAATGGCGGACGCGATTGCGCAATACGCTAAAAAACCCTCGAAATAGGACAGGGGGAACTTCTGAAGCTTCCCTCTCCCTCTGTTGTTGACTGGTGGTGTGATAATTTTTTTTTATCACTGATAAAACAAACGACTATAAAACTTGCACCAGACATACGTAAATAATAATGAAATAATAACGAAACAATTTCAAAACAATTACGAAACAATTGCAAAACGAATTGGAAAAATTCGTTTCGTTTTTTAGTTGCTCCTGAATGGTTCAATATCGCTTCGTTATCAAAAAAATAACGAATTAATAACGAATTACGAAATTAACGAACGAAACCGCCCAGCCCTACTATCTATCTATCTATCTATCTATCTATCTATCTATCAATAAAATAACACCCCAGCTAGACTTACCTCGACAGTATCTGCATGATAAAGTATCAGGAAAGGAATTGGTCCTACCCAAAGCTTGAACAGTGGGATACTTCGTAATCCTTCGCTGTATGTCATCAGCTGCTGGAAGAAAGCTAGAAAACAGATATCAAGTGTACGTAACAGTTTTCTAATGAGAACATCTTACTCTCTAGGCAAGTGGTTCTCCACCTGTGGGTCCCTAGGTGTTTTGGCCTATAACTCCCAGAAATCCCAGCCAGTTAACCAGATGTTAGGATTTCTGGGAGTTGGCCAAAACATCTGGGGACCCACAAGATGAGAACCACTGCTCTAGGCAAAATTCTCCTATAAATTCAACAGTGACAATAATAATAATAATAATAATAATAATAATAATAATAATAATAATATCGGGCTTGGCCCCATATAAGCCGCTCCGAGTCCCTTCAGGGAGATGGAGGCAGGGTACAAAAAAATATTATTATTATTATTATTATTATTATTATTATTATTATTGAATTTTATTCATAGACTGCCCTCTCTCCCCAAAGGGACTCAGAGCAGCTTATATACCAAAAGGTAAACATTCAATGCCTCAGATGAGTACTAATACATTAAAAAAAAATACATAATAAAGCACAGTAATAACAGTACACAGAATTAAGTATCGAAGTAAAGAAATAAAACAGAACAATCCAACAAAACATAATAAACTAAAACATAAGTAAACATTGCCACATATACCATAAAAACAATACAGTTACATTAAAAATGGCTAGCACCAGTGTTCATTTAAGATGTATCCTGTATCAAGTGGGATTAGCCATCATTCCAATGGGTTGAAGTGTCCTAGTCTTCCTCCTCTCCATATGCTAAACCCCATTCTCCAATGCAGATTGCATAGATCAGTGTTTCTCAGCCTTCCTAATGCCGTGACCCCTTAATACAGTTCCTCATGTTGGGGTGACCCCCAACCATAAAATTATTTTCGTTGCTACTTCATAACTGTAATTTCACTACTGTTATTAATTGTAATGTAAATATCTGATAAGCAGAATGTATTTTCATTCACTGGACCAAATTTGGCACAATATCCGATATGCCCACATCTGAATACTGGTGGGGTTGGGGAAGGGGCTGATTTTGTCATTTGGGAGTTGTAGTTGCTGGGATTTATAGTTCACCTATAATCAAAGAGCATTCTGGACTCCATCAATGATGGAATTGAACAAAACTTGGCACACAAAACTTCAATGACCAACAAAAAATACTGGAAGTTTTTGGTGGGCATTGACCTTGAGTTTTGGAGTTGTGGTTCACCTACATCCTGAGAGCACTGTGGATTTAAACAATGATAAATATGGGCCAAACTTACCACAAATACTTAATACACCCAAATGTGAACACTGGTGATTTAGTTTGGTTATTTGGGGTGCTGATACAGAAAATTGCATTGGATAGACCACATCACCATTTTTCTACCTCAGCATTCAAAAAGGCCAAAAGTAATGCCATGACAGCGAGATTCGTGGGATCAGTACTTCTTTTAGGTTTCCCCAGGATGGACAAAGCACCTACCTTTCACCACTCCACTCAGAATAGGGAATGATTCCTTTGAAAAAATACTCATAGATCAGTTGATAACTCAACTCAAGATTTGGGGGGGGGGTGCCTAAAGTTTATACAGTACAGGGTAGTTTCAGATATGAGATTTCATCATTCCTTGTTAGGATTGGCAATTACAGCAGCATATACATAAGCTCATAAACTATTTACGCCATATGAATACACTGCCTTTGTGCACATGGAGGGATTCCACCAAATCAATGGACAACAAGACAGTGCTAGTGGTCCTATTTATGTGGTTTTGTTGCTTGCTCCACAACTGAAATGATTGAGATGTATGGGAGGAAAGAAACTTTTCAAAGGGTCAAGCCTCCTAAATGGGCTCCCACAAGTTCAGTTACCATTTCCCTTCAGCCTTTTGTCTAACTCAGTGGCTCCCAACCTTTTATTATTATTATTTGACCAGGAAGCACTTTGACCAGCGACCACTCTCCAATATTAGTACCAAAAGGGTTACGAATCAATTTTTGGGGACCTTTAGATTCAGTTTGGTTATTTGGGGTGCTGATTCCAACAATTGGTTTGGATAGACCACATCAGCTCTAGTTTCTGAAACATAACATATGCCTTCTAGTAGTCACCATCTGCTCGCCCGCAGAAAACCATATTTAATAATCTAGAGCTGATGTGGTCTATCCAATGCAATTTTCTGAATCAGCACCCCAAATAACCCCAGGAACAGGCCTAAAAATGAAGACACAAAGAAAAAAATTCCATTGAGCTGTAGTAACCATGAGGCCACGGACCATATTTTAGTTCTTGCGGACCACTAGTGGGCTATGGACCACAGGCTGGGAAAAACTGTTCTAACTTATGTATATGCTGCTATACTCAATACCTGTGAAGGTTGGAGATTATGGTAGAGCCACATGAGTGGATGTAACATCATACAGGAAGATGGACACCTAACAATGGCATACTGTACCAGAAATGCATGCCTCTCTGATCAATTATGAAGGGAAAAAATCAGCTTGAAAGGTCAGAAAGAAATTTTTATAGAACAATAAACTGTTCTAAGTCCTTTTTACAATTGTTTTGTGTTTTTCCAGTACTCAAGATTGTATTTTACTATAATTTCTCATTCCTAAATGCTCTAATATATGTGTGTATCAAGGTTTAAATAGGCACATAAATAAAACATTCCTTCCAAAAGCAATGTCAAGGTTGAGGTTCAATTCCCAGGGGTCAAGTTTTTCAAATTAATACTTGTTTACAGATCTGGCAATGTTAACTGTCTCGGGTGTTAGTACAAAATTGCATTTGCAAGAGAATAGGGTACCAGCTGAGTGTGATAAAAAGGAAAGGTCAATCCTTTGAAATAATCTTAATAATTCGTCACACACTTACAATAGATTTCTAACACAGAAAATATAGCTAACAGAATAACAGAACAAGCTGTGACATATTCTGGACAACAAGTCCCTTGAGTCTTAGTCAGCATTCCCAACCCGGAGAGATTATTGCAGCTGTGGTTCAAAAGATCTAAGAGGCACCAGGCTGCCTCGTCATACTCCATCACCTTTGGAAAACTAAGCATAATTGCCTCTGGTATCATTACAGTTGATTAATAGTGCTATAAAACAGTCTACTCAACAGACTCTTGTTCACTGGGTAAATTATGGCCAAAATCCTTTCCAGGCTCAACAGCCAAACTGGTTCAAGGAAAGCACTTTGGGAGAGTCACATATGGCACTGGAGCATCTACTAGAACAGCATTTCTCAACCTGGGGTTGGGACCCCTGGAGGGGTAGTGAGGGGGTGTCAGAGGGGTCACCAAAGACCATCAGAAAACACGGTATTTTCTGTTGGTCATGGGGGTTCTGTGTGGGAAGTCTGACCCAATTCTATCATTAGTGGGGTTCAGAATACTCTTTGATCATAGGTGAATTATAAATCCTAGCAACTACAACTCCCAAATGTCAGGGTCAATTTTCCCCAAGCTCTGCCAGTGTTCACATTTGGGCATACTGAGTATTTGTGCAAGGTTTGTCCAGATTCATCATTGTTTGAGCCCACAGTGCTCTCAGGATGTAAATGAACTATAACTCCAAAACTCAAGGTCAATGCCTGCCAAACCCTTCCAGTATTTTCTGTTGGTCATGGGAGCTCTGTGTGCCAAGTTTGGTCAATTCCATCACTGGTGGAGTTCAGAATGCTCTTTGATTGTAGTTGAACTATAAATCCCAACAACTCCAACTCCCAAATGACAAAATCAATCCCCTCAATCCCACCAGTATTCAAATTTGGGAGTATCGGGTATCTGGGTTTTTTAAATTCTTTTTAATATTATACACACACCCATAATTATTATCTCTTTTTTCCTTTTTCATTCCCTTCTCCCTCCCCACACCCATCCCTCCCCCTTCCCTGAGCCCTTCCACACAGCCCTATATTCCAGAATATCAAGGCAGAAAATCCCACAATATCTGCTTTGAACTGGATTATCTGAGTCCAGACTCAGATAATGTGGGATTTCCTGCCTTGATATTCTGGTATAATAGGACTGTGTGGAAGGGCCCCCTTGTTGACAACTTAATTCTTTTGTTTTGGGTATCTATGCCAAATGTGGTCCAGTAAATGAAAATACATCCTGCATATCAGATATTTACATTACAACTCATAACAGTAGCAAAATTGCAGTTATGAAGTAGCAATGAAAATAATATTATAGTTGGGGGCCACCGCAACATGAGGAACTGTATTAAGGGGTCACAGGATTTAAGAAGGTTGAGAACCACTTTACTAGAATGATCACCTTTGCCCAATTCACATGTACACAGGCAAAATAAATGTATTTCTCTCTGGAAAGTATTCCCCATGCTGCATTTAGGTTTTATAAAAGCTTCCTTTGCCACCACGTGGCACCATAGAAAGACAGTTTTTGCAACAGGGTTGGCGAACATGCGATGCTTAGCCCTTTCCGCACCTCTGCAAAATGCTCCATGCAAGACATCCAATCTTTTAAAGTATAGTAGAGTCTCGTTTATCCAACATAAATGGGCCAGCAGAACATTGGATAAGCAAAAATGTTGGATAATAAGGAGGGATTAGGGGAAAGCCGATTACACGTCAAATTATGTTATGATTTTACAAATTAAGCACTAAACATCATGTTTTACAACAAAGCGACAGAAAAAGCAGTTCAATACACAGTAACGTTATATACTAACTACTGTATTTACGAATTTAGCACCAAAACATAGCAATTTATTGAAACAACTGTGGATCCAAGCAGGAGACAGACTGCATTGGATAATACAGAATGTTGGATGAGCGAAGGTTGGATAAGCGAGACTGTACTACACCTGAGTATGTGAAACACAAAGATTCAATACGAGCATGGGCAATCCCACCAGGTCAATGCAACAGCAGTGGAGGGGCTTTTGCCTTTTGGAATCGAAGCCAAAGGGCCAATTTAACCACAGGACTTAAAGAAAGCTCTATCTCTTTGCTTCATTGCTTTCAGCCAGTCTTCACATACAATTCAAATTGCCATGTCTCTCCCAGT